CTGACCGAAGATCCGTCTGGTTTCGTGTGTGTGTTCTGTTTTTTTCCAGTATGCTGTCTCCAGGCTGAGATGTATAGAACGTCAATTACTCCGCCGTTAATTCGCTTGGGCAATAACAGGCAAGTAGAATGCCGACTTCACGGCCATGCACACTCTACGTACTTTGAATTTGTGCCTGGTTGAATTTGTGCCTGGTTGAAACACTGTTGCTGCACATCCAGGTGCATGTCTTTTTCTTGTACCACTTGCATGTATCCATGCCTTGCTCAAGGTTCTAGCGCAGTACGATCTACAGCGGTGCGCCTGTAGAAAAAGGGGACTCCTGCGAGCCTGTGTTCTTGTAAGTCTAGCGAGGGGATACGCGCGCAGGTTACATCTCACACACCAGAAAACACCTCCCCCACCCCCGCCCCCCCTGCCGGCGTTTCTTCCTTGCGGCGACGCAAGACTTATGTACATCGTTCGTGAAGCTGATGCCATAGCCTGGGAAGTCTGGCGCTGTGGCTTGTACTTCGTTGCAAAGTTTGATTCCCCTCTCCAACATATTTAGTAACGTCTATGGAATAATGCAAGGAATGTGCCACCTTACGGATGGGGATTCTGAGCCTCAGCATGAAAACAAATACTGATCGGAAACCACGCACCCGGCTTCAAGTACAGCCCGGCCAAGGCGAACGACACAAAGTGTTTAAACCTAGATCAACCTATCTGTGGCTCATCATCAAGACTTGCGAAGGCCCCAAAAGCTAGATACAAGTCTGCACTCGAACAGAATCAGGCCTTCCACATCCGGCATTTGCCAGAGCCTGGATTCGCTTCAATGCCCCTCACTCGATGTCTCAAGTCACGGGAGAGTCTGACGATCAAGAACGCATGCCCTGCTCATTGTGCCAAACTACAGCAGCTAGAGCCGGGCTACGGCGACCCATTGGGACAAGCACCATGTCGAATGCAACCAACCTAGTCGCACTCTAGTCGCATACCAAAAAACTCAGGCCGGCAAGGTATAAGCTCGGAGCATTGGGTTGCAGTCGTAGTGTGGATCCCAAGCTTGCTGCTGACCATGACTCCATCCTGACATGTGCACAATTCCACTCTCCGGGAGGTTTGGGCATGCAGTCGCCCTGTCTGGCTGATGCAGACGGACGTCCACGCCTGCAACTCTTTGCAGTTGCCCACTATGCGAATTCTGAATACTCGATACTGATACATCGGGCTGACGTCGAAATTTAGCATTAGGACCATTACGACAATCTGAACCCACTTGTGGACTCCAGCATTTCGCCACCAGGGCCGGGAACCAAGACAAAGACTTCTGGCTTCGACCGTATGGTCTATGGTGGAGGCCTAGGAACTAACTAGTGAATCAGCGGCTCAGACTTCTAAGGGTTTTCTGGCCTGCGTGAGGCCCGCAAGCTCGCACTGTCACAGGTGACAGGCACCACACACAACAACAAATATTGGAAAGCCGTTGCGATACAATGTAATTTGCCACCTCGTTACTCCGTAAGTGTCAAGCTCCACCGAAGCTCTTCGTTAAACTTCGCACACGCTCCAGCCGCACCCAAACAGTAGAAGCTCTCCAGGAGAAATGTAGCACGGATGCTACTCTCAGGACGCCGCTCGATGATATGTAGGTGTTGGCATTTTGAACGGTGGCCGCGACTTCATGTGTGTCTCGGGGGTTCTGCTTCGGAAGACTTTATGCAGGCTATTCAGTTTATGAAGGTTGAACCGAGGCAATTGGCGAGGCAGGTTTCAGGTATGTTTCGGGGGATGTCTCGGGGTTGGCCTGTGTAAGAGTGAGGATTCCTGGAACATACGAACGCCGGCATGTTGTGCCAATGCCAAGGAGCCTTCGCCTTCCCCAACCGCCCAGATTGGAATCCCAGGGACCTGGCAGGACCATGGCCAACCCTTCGAAACAAAGACTCACAAAATCTCCACCTTGCGTAGAATCATACCCGTACTCACAGCATGACGTAGCGACGTAGCGGAATCCATGGAAAGGTTCTCTCCGATTCTCGCCGCCTGCTCAGGAACCCAAACTCCTGGCTTGTGGACATGGTGACGTTTAGGCCCCACTCTGCGCAGGCCTGGTTAAGACTTAGGTTTGGTGTTCAGTCGTCGATGTTTCGGGATCACAGCCCGAGGGTGCGGGCATTTGCCTCCAGGGAAATTCAAAGCGGTGCTCGGAGATTTCCAATCTGTTTTCAAGCTGTGGCACGCAACTGCCATTAAAAACGAGCATGACCAGTCTGGGAAGGGTTGGATGGACAACCCTAACTTAGTGCCCAGGTCCTGCACGGGCTTCGTCCGCCGGATCCTTGTCTGCATCAGTCTGCTGTATCGAAGCCTGGGACTCGTCAGCAGTTGCAATTTTGCCCAACCCAAGCGGACAAGCGCCAGCAGCGATACCGGCAACCGCTACTACACTGCACGATGTGACAGGTTGGGCGGCAAGACAAAGGAAGAGCCAGTAAAACGCCCAAGAGGCAAACAGACAGAGCATGAGCCTCAAACGCAAATGCTCCAACGGGTGTCGAACACGATGCTGCCTGGCTTGTCGATGATGTTTAAGATCGTGTCACGAAAGACCCCTGATGTACAATGCACAGCACACAGCCACAAAAGAAGGGCTGCTGGATGCCTCTGCAAACACTCTTGCGATTCACCTTGTCTTGAATCCCCGCCGCTTGTTGGGACGCACGCTGTGTGGGTTCGGCGTGTAGAAGTAGGATGGCACAAAGGCAAAATCCAAAGTTGTGGAATCCGCTTGACCCCACCCGCCCTCCCCTCCTCTCTGTGAACCTCTGGATGAGCCCCAAGGCCCCACGGTGAAGTTTCGCTTCTTCCAATGGGAACGGAATCTAGGAGCTGGGCTACCTTGTCTCGCGATGAGCTCAAGACGTCTGCGGAGTACGCGTCTGATCAAACCATTCACACAAGAAGACTGCTCTTAGAGCTAAGTCAATTCAAGTACTACATGCGAGCTTCAGACGTCAACACGGCCGTACAGACATAAGGTGATTTTCACAAGGCAGTTTCACCTACGCCCCTGTCCACCCCTACACTGCCCTCCCCCCCCCTGCCCTCCTCCCCTTCCAGTTTTTGTCAACTTTTCGGTTGATGAACCCTGCTCCTCTCGCACTGAAGTGTCTTAAACTGAACTTTGGTCGGCGTGTGAGTCCGCACTGCACTGCAGTGCGACGGGCTGAAGATGCCCTGGACAAATGTGCACACAAGTCTATGTGCACAACCTGCTTGAGGTCAGACAAGCAGCCGCGTAGTCTGGCGCTCCTCTTCTTGAAAAAAGAGGGACTCAAGATGATGCCTCATGACGCTCTCATTCAAGGGGTCTGTCCTGAACGAACTCCGACCTCCTGCTCCTGCGTGACCGGAAAGTTGTGGTGTGATCCTGCACTGCGTGTTGCAAACGGCGCGTGTATGTATCAACGTTCGAAGGTCATGTCAGGGCCAAGCATGAGGTGTCTCAACAGCCTACATGCCAGTCAGCCTAGTGCTTCTTGACTCACAATAGCATGCCAGAATACTTGGGAAGCTGGACCAATCCAACCAAGTGAATATCCTGCGACATAAACCCTATTGTGGAGGCAAACGGCCTGCTTATGTCTTGAACCAGTGTGGAGCAGCTTCACTTTCTGTAGGGTTGGACGATTGTTCTGGAGTTGCTTGGGCAAACTGTCAAGCCAATGATCGGAGTCGCATGGGCAAGACTGGCACGGACACAGCTGGACTGGATAGAGGTGTGTTGTATGTAGTGCTAAAGAGTTGCAGTGCTGTCGCTGTCGCATTGGGTAATTTTTTTGTTGCTACAGCTCGAATTTTTGTGGCATGTTGTTGCTAATGGCGCTGCCGGTGCATTCGGCCAACGCAGGTTTCTCTGTGCGGGGGAACTTGGCCTTCAAATCTCAGGAACGAGGTATGCACTCCGGCAGCCTTCAATATCCACATCGTCATCGCCATCGTTGAGGTCCAGAATCTCTTCACCTTCAAGTGGCTAGTGGCTGTTGCTGAGTGACCATGCTTGCGGCCGGCAGCTGCGTGCACTAACTGCCTGCATGCATCGTACGGGCAGTGCCTGCATTATCCACAGTGCCACCGAGCACTGGTCCTCCCAGAAATTCGGATCTGGCTCGATATATCTCGATATAGACACGTGGAACCGTGCATTCGCAGGTACCATCGGTGCAATGAGGAATGACCATTTGCTGCAAACAGACTACAAACCGAGAATGGGCCTCTCAAGCACACAGGCAATTACAGCGATATGGGCGAAACTAACTGTGACAAAGCGGCTCTGACCAAGAGCAAACAGCTTGCGGATTGCATGTGCAGCAACCATGGATTCACGGCTTGCGAATTAACTTCCAGCGAAAGAACAGGTCTATTTAGCCGTCCAGTACATGACCTCCTGAGTTTACTTTAATCGGAACGGTGGTTAAGACACTCATTCATTGGAGTCATGTCTTACAGTTTCTTCCGATGTCCGATCAAACAGACCACCCTTGACCGCTGAGGCAGACTGTTGAACTTGACAAACAAAGTTCCGAAGGCTGTTCTGACAACAGACCGTGTGGTTGTGGTCTGGAAGCGAGCTGTCCCGTGACTAGTGCCTACGCTGGAATAAAGCAACGGGAGAAGCATATAGAACTTCAAGGCATGGCATTACAGTAAGTGTGGAGCGACCTCGCACGCAAGGAACAACTTCATCGCAATGAGTAGCACATGACTGGGGCAGGGAAAAAATGGTTCTAGGGCTCAGCGTCGGATTCCAGTACTCAGCACAGCTGCATTCCCACTCGACTGAGCGCGAGAAACAACTACAGAAACAACACATTCGATCAGAACGGAAACACTCCTGAATCGCTGGCGTGATGATCTTGCAGCTGCTTTCTCAAATGCTCAATCTTCGCGCACAACCTGGCCCGATCAATCACAAGATATCACACGGCATCAGTCCGCCAAGTCTTTCCAAATCAGCCAGGGCACCAGCGCTTGAATTCAGGATACTTGCCAAGCTTGTCCGCTGGCTCTGCGCTCGCGAAAATGCCGAGACCCACAGGGTCCAACTGCCAGTCCGGATCTGAAGCTGATGGGTGAGCTTCGAATGCTTCGAGGAAGTCAATGGCTTTCTCCCCTGCTTCCCTTCGGATAGAATGTACCTCTTCTGGGTGCTCGCCACAGTTCGCCACTTTGGTCAACAGGTCGTCCAACAGGTCGTCCAATTTTCGCAGCTGGGCCGCCAAAGTTCCACTGCGACCCCGCACCTTTGCAATGGTAGCTTCGAGGCTCTGCACCTCCCATGCTCCTGCGTGAACAAGCGGCATGAACACACCGAGTGGTCAGACACGGTCGACTTGTTGTAATCTGTTGCTAGCAAGTGAAGTTGTGCTAGGTGCCAACTGCCTCCTTTACTGCTGGCAGTCATTAGAAGTCTGTCTGCAAGGCAGCTTTATCGTGTGAACACGGATGCCGGCACCATCATGATTCGCTCGACAAAGCTGCCTCGGTCCTACATGGATTTCCCACACAGCACAGCCCAGCTCCTGCTGCTTCCATACTCAGCACATTCACGGCGTGAGTGAAATGATAAAGAGCCGCATCGGGCAGGCAGAACGGCTAGCAAATGCCTGACTTGTTTGCTCACCTTTCGTTGCCAGTGCCTGAAAACAGGCTGAGTGGGACTGTGAGTGGTTCGTGCACACCAGGACATCCAAGATCGACTTCATGCAAACTTACCCTTGTTCAAAAAGATGCTGCGGATGTGTGCATCACCCTTCTGGTATCACTGAGACCACCGACACTTTGCCGCTCGGTTTGCAGGCATCTAAGAAGATGAGCAAATCCGGATTCTTGAGGCAGACATAACATCTAGCTGGCGGCGAAAGGATGCACAAACAAGAGCCTGATGACTACAAAACTGAGACAACACAAAGCGAGCAAGCAATAATCAGACCGTCAGTCAATCAGTCAATCAACCAACCAATCAATGAATCAACCCATCAATCCATCAGCTAATCCATCAGCCAATCAATCAGTCAATCAATCAACCAATCAGTCAGTCAATCCATCAATTAATCAGTCGACTGGACCATCAATCAATCAACCGATATCAGTCCATCAACCAAGCAACTAGGCAATCAAGCAAGCATGCATTCATTCATCTATGCATGCATTCATTGACTCATCGATTCAACGGAGCTACCAACTCGTTTATTCACTCCCTTCATTTCGTTCATGTCGTTCCTTTCCCTCACCCATCCATCCATCCCTCCGTCCATGCATGCGTGCGTGCATGCATGCATTCATAACGCCCTTTGCACTCATTTCATTCAGGTCGCTCATGTCGCGCATTTCGCAAATGTCATTCATTTCGTTCACTGCAATCCTTTATTCATTTCGTTCATTTCATGCGTTTCCACCTGTGTCAATCATTTCCTGCATTTCATTCCTTTCATTGCTTTCCTCATTCCATTTCATTCATATCATTACACTCGGTTCTTTTCATTCAACTCTGAGCTCATTCAATCAAACTCTTTCAGTCCATGTCTTTCGATCAGTCATTCGTTCTTTCCTTCCGTTTCCGTCTTCGTGCAATCAATCACACATTCAACCCGTCAACCAATCAATCAGTCCATCAATCAATCCATCGAACGATGGATCGACCGATCACTCGACCAAACAATCAATTGACATGCGTGTACATGTATATATGTATGTAAGTACTTATGTATGCGTCGGTACGCAGGTACGCAGGTGGGTAGGCAGGTATGGCTATATGAACATATGCAGGTGTTGTTGTTTTGTCTCTTCTTGTACATCAACAACACGACACAGACAATACGAAAAACAACCATAATGCACTAACAACGTGATTACAAGACAAAACAGTCATAGGAACGATGAACATGTGAAACTTCTAGTGATGACAATAGTCGAACAGTACAAGTGCCAATATGAACAAGGACAAGAATGATGATGATTATGATGACCAGAATAGCTGTCACAATCATCATCTGCTTCTACATCAACAACATGAACAAGACTTATCATAAGAATGATGTTCTTGGAACAATACTGACGACAATGGCAACAACAAAGATCATCGTATTAATGGCAAGTGACAGAAAGACAGCAAGGGAAGGAGGACGAGAGAGAGAGAGAGAGACAAAGAAAAACAAAAAAAGAATATAGTTTTCAATGACACAATCATGCCACTGTTTACATGTATTTGTCGGTCTACTCATGTATCCATGTCATTCAAACCTTTCAAGCATCCGTGCAATCTTTTTGCGCAGCGGCAGCGGAGTCTGTGCAGGTAAGGTGTTGTGCAGATGCCTCACTAGCCAGAGCCGAGACACTGAGATGCAGAGCTGCAGACTAGACTCCGAATACCACTGTGGTCCAATGGTTGGATCAGCACATGAAACTGGTCCAGGAAGATGCGCAAGTTCTTGCAGGCAAGTGTAGTTGACGCTGTGTGATTTGTTCCTTACCGCACCGGTGGGTATGTATATCTTGAACGCCACCAGGTAGATGGCGGCACCAGGGGCAAGTGGTGGAACCCAGAACCACGGGGAGCAACAGCGCCGTGTTCAATCCAAGACGGCATATGGCACGCAAAAGATCGAAAATTACTTCCGAAGGTATCGCTCTTGCAGACTCTTGCTCGTGCCGGGGTTTTTCCAGTAGTCCAAGCTGTCACTCGCTCAGCTTGAATGCAACCCTGGACTTGGACTATTTCTTCAGGACTGATCTGGGAATGAATGTATTGAAAAGGCGCTGGTTGCGGTCTTTCGAAACACTCCTGTCAGAGCATCAGTTTGTCAACTCTAACTGGGTTTCAGCGGCAACTCAACATCCGATGGCACTGCCGGCTGCGCCTCCACTGCTGGCCCGTCCGGGGATTTTTCCGACCAACCTTCCGAGTCGGCTGCAGGACAGAAGGCTGAAGGGTGTGAAAGCTGTGGGGACAAAGCCCTTGAGGGTCTTCTTGAGGATCTTCCACGCTAGACTCGACCGTGGTCTGGCAGACGAACATGACTGAATCGGAATTGGCATGAAGTTTCTTCGTTTTTGAAACATGCATCGCCCCAGATGTCTGTTGTCCCGACTGCTGGCTGTAACTGCACACACAGTCCACCTCTTCCTGCACTGTAGGCCACTGTAGGCAGATCTTTGTACATGGAGCACGCAGACTGTCTGTCCGTCTGCTTTGCACCTTTCCGAAAAGAGAAAGAGCATCCTCTCCGAGCTCTCAGGCTCAGACGTCGCCCGCCGTGACCGCCTTGGCCATCCACTGTTGCGCCTCTTTCTCGACTCTTTCGGATCGGCTCTGGACCTCCTCCAAGCGCTTCAAAAGGGCCTCGATGCGGTGCTCCTCCAGGAACGAAAGCATCTCAGCCTTGGAGTCAAAGGTATGGCCGAAGCATTCAAGGCTTTCTGAGCTCCCATCAAAGGTCAACGTACTTCCGTTGTCGAAGACGATCTCATCGGAGAGCACCTTAAAGCCTTCGCGACCAGAGATTGGATCGTACATGCCACCACGGAGTCGCAGGACCAGATGCATCTCGGCTGCCTCTGGAACGTTATAATCTGCGAGTGTCAACTCATCCTCCAACTGCTTCCCCGAGAAGACCACGCGCTGCTGGTCGGGAGGGATGCCTTCCCTCTCCTCGATCCTTGGGAAATGCAACAGGCAGTGGGGCATCACAGTCACCCCCCTGAAAGAGACGAGTTTATTAAAGAACTACAGTAGCGTTCTTGGACGAAGGTCCTGAGCTTCAGCTCCTCCACGGTAGTGCAGGCACCGATCTCACGCACAATGATGGTCTTGCCCGTCAGCGTTTTCACAAGGACATGGGAGACACGCTGCACCCTCCTCTGGATCTTGGTGTCCTGCTGAGACTGCTGGAGGTTTTTGGCCTTTCGGCGCTTCCGGCCTTTAGGGGCGACTTCCTTGAAGTCCAGCTGCGAGCCTGCTGTGATCCCAAGAGAATTGAGGCTGGCTTCCTTTGGCAAGGCCTTCCCATCCAAGGTGATCACCAGCGATGTGGCTTTGCAGCGCAATCGGAGTGCCACCTGCTCTGCGAGGTTTGCAATGCTGTCGAAGGGCGTTGCCTCGAACTTGTAATTGTCCACCTTCACGAAGAAGACCTCAGCGATGTCCTTTGCTGTAGCAAGTAGATCCTGCTGCTGGAGCTGAATAGCTTCAGCCTGTTGGATCATCTTCAGGAGAGACGACTCCTTGTCATGGAAGCGCTTGCTCTCCAGGGCTGTGCGCAACGCATGAACGTCCACCACCATGGCCGCAGAGAAGCAAGGCTCCCCTGTCGCTTCTAGCCACTAGCCCCTCGAAGAGAATATCTTCATGTAAACGTGAAGAGAAATTTTTGCGTAGTTTCCATGAGCTCAGCCGACTTTGACGCCGACATTGACATGCAGGTGAAAGCCATGTTCACGAAGAGCCCGGGAGCCTTTTTGGCCACATAGCGAATATAAGACAGCAACCGGTCCAATCTGCTCCTCACTGAGAAAGAAACCATGGTTGAAACATACCATCACCTACCCCTCATCATCAGCAGATTCTTCTGCTGGGCATCTATGTGTGTGCATGTGAGCGTTTGTATTTATACAGTTATACATACTAACTTCAACTCTATTTGCTTATCGAGTTGCGAATCAACAGCTTGATGGACCGATACATCACGACTCATGTGGGGTTGCGGAAGCCTTGGAGGAGCTGTTCTGCTGTTGTGCGGGTTGGGGCTGCAAGCGCACGGGCTGTAATTCAGAATTCAAGTTGTTCGCAGTCTGTCATATTACGCCGACTCTTCTATCTCGTGTCATCGTATCAACTACCTGCTCATGGGCGCTTTGCTCGTGCAACAGGAGACCTGGCGTACACCAAACTCGAGAATCACGATTGAAACTATACGACCAACGACTCCTCTTTGCTACGCGTGCGCGCGACAGATGCATGCTCCGAGGCAGACATACAAGCCTCAGAGCTCGCTCACTTTACATGGGATTGCTGAGGGCCCTGTACAATCCTCGGCTGAGTCCAAAGCACAGGACTTCTTGATCCGTGGACATGATGCTGACAAAAGAGAGTTACACGTCAGTATGACTTATAATACTGAAACGCCTGTAACTTAGCGCCTGTACAACCGCACTCCTGCAAAGCTGTCCTCAGCGATGAGCAATGCATGTCATCTGGCTGCCGCCCAAGAGCTGTTGGCATTTGGCACTGCCACAGCACTGCTCAGTCAACTGACCTGGGCCTCCGCAAACTTCGTTCAAGCCCACACAGTGCTGCTGCTCTACACATCTCATCTGGCTGCCACCAAGCAGTTGCTGGCAATTTGCGTTGCCACAACACTGCTGCGTCAACTGGCCTGGGCCGCCGCAAACTTCGTTCACGGCCACGCAGCTTTGTTGCTCCACGCACTTCATCTCACTGCCGCCGAGAAGTCGCTCACACTTGGCATTGCCACAACACTGTGCGGTCAACTGGCCGGGGCCTCCACAGGCCTCGTTCGTGGCCACGCAGCTTTGTTTTTGAATGCACTGCATCTCGCTGCCGCCAAGAAGTCTCTCGCACTTTGCGGTGCCGCAGCACTGCTGAGCCTGCTGAGATGGGCCTCCGCAAACGCCCTGCTCAGGTACGCACTGCTGCTTGCGGACACAAACGCTTCCGACATAGGGATCTTTGACGAGGCACTCCATGTTGTCACAGCATGGCTGAGTATGAGTCCACCGCATCCAAAATCTCCACTTGCAGGGTGCACCTTCGTAAGCCTGCCACTGGCCTGGCCAGCGTCCTCGAAGTGAAGTAGCAGAAGCTGCGGACGTCACCGTCGCAGTCGTGTTCTCAGCTGTGACGACGGCCACGCAGCAGGCAACAACCAATTGGCGAGCCATGATGCGCGAGTTTGCTTACAGGAGGGCGAGCAAGTGGAGCTACCGACCAGCTGTGTGGTGCCAACGACTGATGAAGTACTGTTACATAGGGCTCTGGCGGACAGTCCTCCACCTCAACATCATAGGTTTGGTGTTCACGTTTGGGTGCTTCGCGAGGAGGCATCTACAGCCCGAAGTAGGTGTCTGTGGCCCTCAGGTACTCCACTCGTGACTCCTCTTTGCTGCGCGTGCGCGCGACAGATGCATGCTCCGAGGCAGACATACAAGCCTCAGAGCTCGCTCACTTTACATGGGATTGCTGAGGGCCCTGTACAATCCTCGGCTGAGTCCAAAGCACAGGACTTCTTGATCCGTGGACATGATGCTGACAAAAGAGAGTTACACGTCAGTATGACTTATGATACTGAAACGCCTGTAACTTAGCGCCTGTACAACCGCACTCCTGCAAAGCTGTCCTCAGCGATGAGCAATGCATGTCATCTGGCTGCCGCCCAAGAGCTTTTGGCATTTGGCACTGCCACAGCACTGCTCAGTCAACTGACCTGGGCCTCCGCAAACTTCGTTCAAGCCCACACAGTGCTGCTGCTCTACACATCTCATCTGGCTGCCACCAAGCAGTTGCCGGCAATTTGCGTTGCCACAACACTGCTGCGTCAACTGGCCTGGGCCGCCGCAAACTTCGTTCACGGCCACGCAGCTTTGTTGCTCCACGCACTTCATCTCACTGCCGCCGAGAAGTCGCTCACACTTGGCATTGCCACAACACTGTGCGGTCAACTGGCCGGGGCCTCCACAGGCCTCGTTCGTGGCCACGCAGCTTTGTTTTTGAATGCACTGCATCTCGCTACCGCCAAGAAGTCTCTCGCACTTTGCGGTGCCGCAGCACTGCTGAGCCTGCTGAGATGGGCCTCCGCAAACGCCCTGCTCAGGTACGCACTGCTGCTTGCGGACACAAACGCTTCCGACATAGGGATCTTTGACGAGGCACTCCATGTTGTCACAGCATGGCTGAGTATGAGTCCACCGCATCCAAAATCTCCACTTGCAGGGTGCACCTTCGTAAGCCTGGCACTGGCCTGGCCAGCGTCCTCGAAGTGAAGTAGCAGAAGCTGCGGACATCACCGTCGCAGTCGTGTTCTCAGCTGTGACGACGGCCACGCAGCAGGCAACAACCAATTGGCGAGCCATGATGCGCGAGTTTGCTTACAGGAGGGCGAGCAAGTGGAGCTACCGACCAGCTGTAGTGCCAACGACTGATGAAGTACTGTTACATAGGGCTCTGGCGGACAGTCCTCCACCTCAACATCATAGGTTTGGTGTTCACGTTTGGGTGCTTCGCGAGGAGGCATCTACAGCCCGAAGTAGGTGTCTGTGGCCCTCAGGTACTCCACTCGTGACTCCTCTTTGCTACGCGTGCGCGCGACAGATGCATGCTCCGAGGCAGACATACAAGCCTCAGAGCTCGCTCACTTTACATGGGATTGCTGAGGGCCCTGTACAATCCTCGGCTGAGTCCAAAGCACAGGACTTCTTGATCCGTGGACATGAAGCTGACAAAAGAGAGTTACACGTCAGTATGACTTATAATACTGAAACGCCTGTAACTTAGCGCCTGTACAACCGCACTCCTGCAAAGCTGTCCTCAGCGATGAGCAATGCATGTCATCTGGCTGCCGCCCAAGAGCTGTTGGCATTTGGCACTGCCACAGCACTGCTCAGTCAACTGACCTGGGCCTCCGCAAACTTCGTTCAAGCCCACACAGTGCTGCTGCTCTACACATCTCATCTGGCTGCCACCAAGCAGTGGCTGGCAATTTGCGTTGCCACAACACTGCTGCGTCAACTGGCCTGGGCCGCCGCAAACTTCGTTCACGGCCACGCAGCTTTGTTGCTCCACGCACTTCATCTCACTGCCGCCGAGAAGTCGCTCACACTTGGCATTGCCACAACACTGTGCGGTCAACTGGCCGGGGCCTCCACAGGCCTCGTTCGTGGCCACGCAGCTTTGTTTTTGAATGCACTGCATCTCGCTGCCGCCAAGAAGTCTCTCGCACTTTGCGGTGCCGCAGCACTGCTGAGCCTGCTGAGATGGGCCTCCGCAAACGCCCTGCTCAGGTACGCACTGCCATTGACGAAAAGAGCCTCGGAGTGCAGCAGCCGAGGCCGCTGGCTTCGTCGTCGTGTTCTGAGCTGTGACGACGGCCAGGCAGCACGCAATCATCAGCTGACGAGCCATTTGTGCAAAACCGGTGAGGTGCGACCAGGGAAGTCACGTGAAGCGCGGGCAGGAGGCTATTTTGCTTGTACCTGTGAGCCCGAGCTGCGGACGGAGGTCACAGTCCCTTCTCTTGTGCATCCCATATCCCTCGCCGCGGAGCAAAAGCATCCGGTACCTCATCGTTTGTGCAGCTCGCGAGGCGCAGCTGCCGTCTTCAGCCTCGAGCTCCATTACCCAGAGCATCACAGAGCCTGCCTAATCAAGATCATGCAACCTGCAATGGAAGTCAGCCTTGTAATCTAGAATCTGGACTATAGGCTGGATACTCTTGAAGGCGCACCAGTGGCTTGCAGGGATGACCCAGCACCAGCCAAATGGCCTTTGAAGTGGAAATGCTGCCGCACAGCGGGCTCAACAGCCCTCCCCAGCATCACCTTGAGCCAAACGCGCCTGGTTCTGCATAATGATCACATCAGTGATCAAGTAGATAGTGCTTGCGGGTTTCCGGCACTTGCGATGAGCATGGCAGAGTGGCTCTGGCGTGGAGGATTCCATATCCTCCTGTTCTGGGTTCTGAGCCCTTTCGGGCATCACTGATTTTTTTCATGCCGGAGCCTCAGCCGTTTCTCCAGCGGCCAGGCTCAGTGCACGAACTTTGCCGAGCACCTCCCATAGATGCAAATGCAAATCTTGGCATCCATCCCAAGCCCCCTGGCGTCAGGGAACCCTTAACCTCCTGCCTCCTTGGCCATGCGCCGCACCTGTTCTTTTTTGAGTTGTGCATACAAGCGACATAAAGGCCAGACTGCCAATCCGGTTGTCACGGTTCAGTATGCACAAGATGCAGCGGTACGCAAAAACGATCATGCATCTTGATGGTCATGGTTTGGTAAGAGGAGCCTCTGGCACGGAATCGCCGAGGCAAGTCGCGATGTTGCCGACGTAGGGCCTCCAGGAAACAGCTCATTGGCTTCGGGAATGTCTGGGCCAGACCTCTGCGCGAGGTCAGTCTTGAAACGGGGCCGAACGCCGACAGGCTGAAGCTGCAGAGCACTGCGCGAAAGACTCGCAGGAGGCTCACAAGGCTCAGGCACAGCAGCGTTGCCGACTTTGCCGAGCGCCTGGTTAAGCCCAGCAAAGCCAAAAAGGATCGCATAGCTTAAGAGTTTGCAAAGGACTTGACAGCACTTTTCAGCGCAAGGGCGTATGATGCCGATCACCACGATAACGATGGCTGAATTCGAGGCTGGGTGGAGGAGGTGGAGCAGAGGAGCAGGATGCTGACGTTGATGATGGCGGTGACGATGATGATGACGATGATGGTGATGAGGATGATTACCATGGTGCTGTTGACGACATGATGGTCATGACATGATGATGCTGCTGCTGACGAGGATGACCAGCAAAATCGGAACATGGCCATGGAAGGCTCTCAACAGTGAGCCTCGCATAGGAGTGGTAAACGCCAGTCTTCGAAGGCTCTGCTATACGTGAAATCGCCAGTGCTCACACACAGGCCGACAGCGGACATGAGAGATTGAAACAACGGCCCCCAGGCTGCCTGCACTGCGTTGCCACGAACGTACCTGCGGTTCATCTTGCTCAGTCATCTGCCTTCATAAGGTGAGCTTCCCCTGCTTGCGGTCATGAGCCGGGCGCCACACCAGTCGTCGTCACCCAGAGCGGCAGCCAGGTCGGCCGCATAGGGCGAAGCAAGATCTCCTGAAGCTTAGCAGGCCAAAGGTTGCAACACCGGGGGCCCTCTCTGATGCTGAAAGCTACTGCGGAACCTGTTTTCCAATCAGAGCCGGCACCTGGCCTAGCTCGAGAAGGGCCTGCGACCCGGCGTGGCGCACACGGAAATCCTGCAGGCATCCAAACTTAGCGAGACCAACCTGGGGATGAAGCGCCGGGGAGAAGAAGCTTCAGTTCTCTTGTTAGTTGAGTGGCACTGGGAAGCTTTACTTCACGTGTAGGCCTCTCATCTCGAAAAGCCGAAACCCCGAAGTGCGGAACTGCAAAGTCCTCATCCTTCAAGGCCTTCACGAAGTGGTCCACGTATTTTGCCTATGCCAAGCCATGAGTTATCTCTGACTTGCCCACAGGGAGGTTACAACTGTACCGCACATGCCAGCGGAGATATCCAGGAAACAACTGAGCCGACTGAGCCGTGGAAGCATGGCAAGTGGGATGCAATGTCATCCGGATCGAACTCGGATTCGAGCCGACGCTTCGCGGCCACGGCCACGGACCTCCGCACACGAGAACCCACTCTGAACGACTGCCAGGCAAAGGGCACGTGAGCACACGAACTTGGAAACAGATCGGAAGAACCCCATCTTTACCGCAATTGCAATATTCGTCCTCGACCCGGATAGCATCCTGTAGCTCTTTCCAAACTGGACTCGTGCCAGTCCCACGTCTCAGTTGCAAGTGCGGTGACGATCCCGAACATCATGGAAGAATAGCGATCACGATGCGGTTTGGGCCCTCAATCAATCTGCCCCCACGAGATACCGCAAAAGCCAGGTCGCAGGCCACTTGCTTTAAAACCGCCGAGCGAGTCAGAGGATTTGGACTGGCATTGCAAAGACTCCAATAAGAACTAAGTGCAGAATCCACAGCAATTTGAGTGGCTCCGGCAATGGAGACTTCTGCATCGAAAGGACAGCACTCAAGTCTGCCAGCTGTGCTCGTTTAGGTAGTCCTCCACGCTGCCAAACTGGGCAATGACCTGCAAGCTGGTGCAACAATGTCCAACACCTACCATAATCATTTTTCACCTTTTCTGACAGATGCCGGCACGAACGCGCCTTGCTTGCCGCCTCGACTATCTTCATGTTCCCATCGCCCAGCAATGGCCTCAGCATCAAACTTGTACTGAAGCAGCCTACCATAACCCCGCTGACCGACTCCCAACGGCGACAATACTCCCGCCGGATGCTTTGGCAGGCACCACGTCGCTGGCTGGCTCCGGATCTACGATGCAAACTTCATTCTGCTACGTTGTCTATGCTGTTTAAAATTTGTCGTCCCCGAAGTACATCTGGTTTTGAGATGCTCGACTGGACTTGGACAAGATTTCGAAGACTCCTGCCTTGTATCATAGGACAGGTCCGCAAGACTCCTTGGACTAGATGCAACTTTGACTAGACTTGCATGGGCCACTACTGAAGTGGCTCCTTTTCTTGAAAGCTCCCTGAATCCTACCCCCAAGCCCTGGACCCTATCATAGGGCGAGATTCTCTAAATACCGTCACCAACTCCTCGGGGACCTGGCGCCACGTCGTGGGCCAACGGCGCCGCGAGGTGGCCGATGCCAGCCACGGCCGCCAGGACGGAGAGGCGGACTTGCAAGGCTGGTACTGGGTGTACATCTACAGTATATACATATAACATATATATATATATATTTACATTTGTTACATGGCATCAAAAATCTTGTATATGTATATCTGTGTGTATATATATATATATATATGTGTGTGTGTGTGTGTGTATTTGTAGATACACATGCTCATATGTGTATATATGTGACATGTGTATGCACCATACGAAAAGGCAAAGATCTTCATGTCAATCAAGACATGAATTAATGGATGTGTGAGATGCACATGTGCACCCTACATAAGTCCAGTCTGTCGGTATGTTGGTGCCCAGTATGGACCGGCGGTGTCTGCATATGCGTGCATGCACAGAAAAAGACAAGTAGTACTGTAGCACGATGGCCGAGCAAAGAAAATTGCGAATGAGGTACAGGCAAGTAGCAGTGATGTCCACCCGACTTCCGTCGTGGACGTTCCACCAATTCTCACGGACAGGCTCAAAATCCTGGCCTCCATCGGAGCTGCTTTGCAGCTCGTCCCATCGCGTGTCCACGAGGCGACGTGCCTGGGCTGGGGCAGCCAGCTTTCTCCCAAGCATCGGGCATGGATCGATTCAAGTCATGGCCACCAGGCCCCCGGGCGTATTCGCGCCTCGCCGCTTCAATCGCGCCTTTGTGAACGCGACGCCTCGGGCACCGTTCTGGAATCTTTGCATGGGCTACCAACCCCCGTACTGCAAGCAGGAGCAAAGCGTCCGGTAGCAAACACTTCGCCACATCTGAGACTTGGCTTCAGGTAGTCTGAGTTCGCCAGCGCGGCATCACCCGATTTCTGAAGCTCCATGACACCCTCGGCATGGCTGGGGGGGATTTTCCGAAGACAAAATGTTTACAGGACATGCAATGTGGGCCAGCCCCGAGCCGTCATAAATTGAACTGCTCCATCAGAATGGCTATATGCAGACAGAGTGTCACACATGGCCCCGTATAAGTATGTATCATGCACCGATGCATCTACCACCCACTCAAAATCACCCTGGCACACATGCACACAGGGACAGACAGAGCAGGCACGGCCCCGGTACAGTAGCCCGGATATGCCCCGTGCCTGGACGCGTTGCTGATCATCGGTGCCTTCATCAAGAACAGACAGTTCAGGCGAAAAGGTTTTGTTGCGTAACGGAGTTCGATATCCGGGCGGGTTCAGCGCTTTGGTTCGCACCTTGTGTCACGAGTAGCGACCCGTCTCTTTACTACACATTGGCTCCTGAAGACAGACTGTGCGTCCATCCATCTCTGGACCTGGTCATACAAAACATGCACACACATGTATGCCATCCAAAGCTTTGAACATCTATCTGTGTCTTTTGTGCTCCTCGATGTCTCCATATTCATAGTGGCCCGGGCGCTCTCGCAGGTGCCAGTTCTTATGTCGTACTGCATAAGCGCTAAAGGCAGACCTCGTTCATCTGTCATTGTCATTGCTCGTCTAATGTAACTGTGTTCGGTGCAGAGCATCCGCGCCCGTGGTTTTCACGCAGTCTTGCCTCGGCATCGAAACAAAACTTGTTAAATCGTCACCGAAGGGCTGAAGAGGTCCAGGACATGGCGTGCTCCGATGGCAGCATCCGGGTCTCAGTGGTCTTTGAGTTCTCTCTCTCGGGCACTTAACGTAGCTGAGCCGCCGCTTGCAATTCAGCTAACTCGAGACACCGCGCTAATACACTATGCAAGCAAGGGTGTTCCCTTACAGCGTGGGTGGGCGTTTGCATGCCTCCAACTCGAAAATCAAAGACGAAGCCCGCTAACAGCACCCTGGCACATGCGAAGACAAGCTGGGGCGAGTGCTGGCCTTTCCAGACAGCCTCGGTCAAACGGGTCCTTCCTTTGACCAAGCCTGTGACATGCTCGGCCGAGGATACCAGTCGCGCCAACCCCACAAGTGTCTTGAAAATCTATGTAGACGTCCAAGCATTCTGGCAACAGCCCTGAAAACCTGGGAGCAAAACGGCAAAGCCATAGCCGCATCAGCAACAAGCAAGCTCCTCTGCTTGAATTTCTGCAACTTTTTGGTGCCTCCGAACCACTCACAACGCACACTATCAACTACAATTATGGGGCCATGGCCCAAACTAGCAAGGCCAGTTTGGAGAGAATCGTAGACGCCCTGCCGATGTCCCGTTATGCCAAGAGATGTCGGACAGATATCAAACATCGAATCCTGACATTCCGTAAGTCCCCGTGAGCCCGTGAGGCTCTGGCAGGAGCCGTGCTACCTGGCAGTGGAATACTGGAAGTTATCACCTGCCCGGCCCTGAAACCTTCGGTTCAAGGGCACGCCGACTCGCCTGCCTGTTCCTTGTCGCCTCGACTTCATCAACATGAAAGATTCGCCCTGCCTACGAAAGGAGCTATGTTCGGATTCCCCAAAGAACTCCAAATCTCTGCCGCTTGCACTTTCACGGAATCCGACTCGGAAGCCCCTCGTGGCCTCGCCGTCCTCGCCAGCTGCTGCCACAGCCTCGACTACTGCAATCAGCACGCGGCCGAAGGCATCACGAGCTTCCTGAAACGTGCTCGGAAGATGTCACACCGCTGAAGCTGCAGATAAAGTACACTCTAGAGTCATGCAACATCTGGTCACCAGGAGCCGGGCATAGGTGAGGGGGTGAATGCCGACACCATCCACCGAGTTGGGATTGGCACCTCAGATCTGGGATCAGAGAGCGAGTCGCAAAATCTTCTGCTAGAAATTCTTCTTTGGCCGCGAACGAAGGGAGAGCGCATGCTGCACCAAAGGAGCCTCAGCTGATACAGACGCAGAGCAGAGAAACTCATAGAAACTCTCAAGTCCTCGGGGTTGGGTCCGCTGCAGAGGATCAACGATCTGCCACTCCGAGGGATCTGCAAAGGCCCCGAACCGGACCCGGACCCTCTGAGACAAAGGCTGAGCCGTTCTGAACCAAGATGGCTAAGCTCTGACCTCACAAACTTTCGGCTCTCGGGTGCCTCTGGAGATCTGTACCAGGGGGGTCTCGAGGGTGCCAATGCCAAAATGAAACAAAACGGGCGGACATGGAGCCAGGTTCTTTTTGCCTTCCTGGAAATTTGCTGTTCGCGGCTGCACAACCCATGCGACGGCAACAGCTGCTCCCTTCAGCACGCCTCACCACACTGCCTACGTCTCAACCGCTTAACCGCCTAATACCGCTTAACCTGCATCTGGGATGGTGGGGGCGTGCTTTGCTGCCATCTCGCTCCTGTGGCGAGGGGCATCTACAAATCGAGAGGCACCTGGACGACGGAAGCCACGAGTCAGCTTGGGCCTTGGGGGGCCGATGGCCTAAGGCCAGAGGGGCCTTTGCTGGGCCACAACTGTCCTGTCATAGAGCGTCGTAGTGCAAGCTGGCCCTGGTGGTTTCCGCTCAGGTAATTAAGGCAGTTGGACATCGAGGATTCATCCACGAAGCCGCGCAAAGGCCTAGAGTACCACGCACTTTCACAGTGTCAAAATGAATTCCGCGAAAATCCGCTTCTCAGGGAAGCTCAATCATCGAGCGAGAATGCCTGGCCGGCGCGCTTGACGGTTTTCTGGGCAGTTCAGGACAATCCCTGAAGCCTCTCAACCTTAAGCCCTCTACAGTTAATTCCCTGTTACATGGAGGCTGCCCTGCAAGATGAGAGCATCAGCAACATAGGGCTGCACTGGTCCATTGCCCGCAACAGAAGAACCTCCTCCAAACCTCCAACCCGTCACCCCTCCAACCCTCCGTTGTCCCAGCCTCCCACGCCCGAACCCTTTCCCCTTAAACCCTCCAACACCCTCCAACCCACCCCCTTCCAACCCTAAACCCCCTCCATGAAACTCGAATCGCGGTGCTCCGAAATCCGTCTCGCCCAAGGCTTGCAGGAATGCGATGTCCAGGTCCAGGCCAAAGGCATCAAACCCTGCCGAACTCAACAAAGCCGCGGATTCACTGTGTCGGATGGAGTGCCAGACGTGCTTCCATCAGCTTCAACATCGGGCGGCTCAAGTTGAACAATGAATTCGCTGTCCGATGCAAACTTTTCCGGAATCCATGACAAGGCCTCCACGACGGGGCCGGGTGCCCTGGCGGAAGCCTGAGTTGAGGTGGAAAGATAACAGAAGCGAAGGCCCGATGGGCTCTGTGGGACTGTCTACGTGAATGATGTGCAATACTCCTTGGTGGAAGCGATGAACCGTCTCAGAAAAATTACTTTCGTAGCGAAGGCAGCAGATTGTATTTTGTATTGCTCTGCTGTTGGAGTCGAAGCATCAAAATGCGCACCCCTAAAAGAGCTTCGACATGATCCACTCCAGCTCTGGTGCCACATACTACATACGACATACCACCAATTCAGCTGGAAAGCACAATGGGCTGGAGAGCAGCTCCATCGGTGGCGGCTGAGGCCTTGCAAGGCATGCTGGGTCAGGCGGCGTGCTGGAGGACCCCATGCCACTTTCAAGGAAACTCATTCAGGCTAAGCACCAACTGCCAAAACGATAAAGCGCGGAGGAAAGTGCACCGGCATTTCTAATCCCTCCACAAAGAGCTGGCAACCCTTGAAGAAATTCGGAAAGAGCTCCGTCAAGAATTCCTGCCACTACTGGGTCCCAGACGAGTCCAACAGTGTCAAGAGCTCCAGAATGGCCTTCCGCCGCTCCTGGCGCTGATGGAAAACATCTTTAGATCGAGAAGCGGGTGTAGCAAGGGGACATGTATTGTTTTGTGGATGCCTGGGCAAGCCGCACAGAAGGACACGGCTCATTAGCCCTATACCATATAGCTTTTAGAACTAATTACCGCTGTTTGCACGCGTCCCACTAAGAAGAGTCTCGAATCCCCTGCCAGAGCCAAGTTGAAAGTGGGGTTCAGCGCTGTGCTTTGCTCTGGTTCCGACTCTATGCAACAGCTCCGCGTGAACGGCATGTCCTCCACCACACGGTCGCGGGCTTCGTGAGTGCTGCCAAACTCGGTGTCGAGCTGCCTCACTTTTCCGAAGCAGCCCTGGAAGCGAAAGAAACCGTCGACGAAGAGATCTTTTGAGTGCACATCTGCATTCTTCCAGCCAAAGGTGCTTGCGGATTCGGTCCAGCAAGCCTTCCACCTGCCACGAGCTGAGAAAAAGCACAATCTTAAGAGAGTACACAAGACACAGGAAGACCGCACACTTGCCACAGCATGTCATGTATTCACGTCGGGTACCCCACCGCGCACCTTCTCACTGGGGGCCCGATACTCTCGCTCCTGCACGAGAAGGAAGGTACTTGCAACACTGACTCTGGTGGGAGTGGCTCCTCCTTGTGGCCATGGACCTGAAAGCTGACCTTCCAGATCCCGGGTGTCTGCTTGTCCACACGCACCGGTGGGTAGGTGGCACAAAGCACCAGGGGAAGGATGCCAGAGGGGACCACAGAGCACTTCGTGCAGAAGTAGGACATGGACTTCCTCTTCTGATCCATGCAGGGCAAGACCTGAATCAGTCGAAACACCAGGGACCAAAATGCCCCAAGGGCCCCCAAAACCGTCACATACCGTCACTTGCACACTTGCAAGGTTGGCCGCTGGTGCACCTCTGCAGCCACCACTGTGGCATCCTCTGTGGGCGGCAGCTGCGCAAGGGAACTGTTGACGATCCGCACCGGCGCGTCCTCGCTCAAGCAGACAAGCAGACGCACGCTCACTGGCACAGAGCCTTGTCCCAAATGCCTGGCCTCGTAGCACTTCCGCGGCTGGATCGTCGTGCGCGCATTCGGCCGACCCCAGGAGTCCTCACAAAGCTGGCAAGAGAATCTCTCCGATCCACGACAGAAATCCAAGCCGAGGATCTGCTCCCTGGAAGGGCACGAAGTTGTTGTTCACCAGGGCTGCCTCCTGATATGCCCGGTGAGCTTCTTCTGGGCTGCTGAAAGTGATCTGCACGTCACCCTTCTTCAGGATCCTGTGGTTCTGAACACGGAAGCCGCACTGGCGTAGGTATGGAAGAATTAGATCTTGTCGATCGCGCTTCGAGCGGTACTTCAGCTGCTCCGTGCTCGAGCCATTCCTAAGAAAAGCGACAAGAGTACAGCGAGGGAGAGAAGAGAGGGACAGAGAGGCGTTGAGGTGCTGGTCGGCATGAGCGGCAGTGAGAACAATTCCTGAAGCCTTCACCCTTCCTTTCCTGTGGAGGAGAGAGAAGCCGGGTATTTTTATGAGATCGAGCGTCGTGATTTCCAGGATTCCCGCGGTGAAGGAGGCAGCGATGCACCAGGCCAGGAGCAGCTCGGTGTCTCTGTGCATGGGCTCAGAATTCAGGAGCAAGCGGATGTCCTGTGCCGGGAACTCTGCAAGATAGCAACACCCAAGGCTGGAAGTGTATCATCGGATTGCTACCCAGCTTGAGGTCAGCGTTACAGTGTTACAGCTACAATTCTGGTTCTCGAACGAAACGCGCCACCGAAGACAAATGTCTGCAAGTTGGGCATGAGCAACTGTGTGCTTCAAGTTAGGTCATCAGCAACGTGAAGCTTTCAGAAAATTCACGCGAGACTTTTGAGTCCAATGGATTCATCGTCTGCACACTGTGAGCCCAAGTTGCCTCACCAGGATAGTTTGCCGGATGGCTGCGCTCGACCTTCACCTCTGAGCTTCAGGCTTGGAGCTTCAGGGCTCTGGGCCGAGGGCTTGAGAATGTCTGCGGCTTCTGATTGACTTGATTATGCCATGTACGCCAAGGTAGGCCCAGTAGCTGACAGCTTCTCTTGCCGTCGTCTGCGCATACGCTCCTTCTCCTGCGCCAAGGGGCCAGTGATTCAGAGAGAACCATGATGCAATGGTAAAAATCTGTGAGAGCAAGGCCCAACCAATCCGATGGCCTGTGGGGTGAGTCCAGGTGCGTATCCCATCTCTTCCTCAGCCACTCGTGGACCAGGAGGCCACGAAAATGCTGTTAGGCAGTTGTGGGGAATACCATCCACGAAAATTGAAAAGACCCTCAGTGCAAGTCCTGCAACACTCGAAAATGAAGACTTTGGAAAACCCCGCAAGGGCAGATTGCAAGAAAGCTTCCAGCACATCGTGAATTTGAGTTACCATCTCTTCGATCTCGTGAAGGCGATCCAAGCTCAAGAAGTGCTGCTGGCACCAGTGTGCCTAGTTCCACCATGTCGATACCCAAACATCATGCTTGCCAAGCGAAAAATTGAGGGCAGATAGAGACACGAGGCTTAAACAAGTGCCAGCTTTCCCACGTGGATTTTAAGCAAGCGAGGGATTGCCAGAGCATCTATGTACTGTGGAGCGGGCCTCGTGCTCCACCGACGACCAGCTCCCAGACCTCGCCACGTGCGCCTGCCACGCTCGATAGGCACCTCGCCCGAAGGAGTCGGCTGCAGGCGCAAGCGAGAGCTGGAATATGAAGTACTTCCATTAGCACCCGCACCAGTCTTGAACAACAAACGTCAAGTCACGGAACTCACGGAAGCCTGGATCCCAAAACAACCCTCTGCTGCCAGGATACCGAGGCCGGCCATCAGGTCCCCAGGCAGCGGCCGAGCACCAGAGCCCCGGCCAGGAGAGCAAGCGTCACGCACCTGGAGCTTCGCTCCGTTGAGGGGTTGCTGTCTCGCTCTCATGATCGTCGTATTGGTCAAACGGACATGATATGGATGATAATGCTGGTGCAGATGCTGATGCCGATGGGGATGGTGATGGTGCTGATGACCACAATGATGGTGATGATGATGATGATGATGATAACCGCGATGCTGATGCTGATGATGATGCTGGTGATGAGTGTGATGATGACGATGATGATGACGCTGCTGGTGGCTGTGATTGTGGTGGTGGTTGCCATAGTGGTATCTTCTATGGTGGCAAGGACTTAGTAAGGACAAACGTTTCTTTCGCTTTTGGATCTCGACGTAGGGCAATCGAGAACCGCTGCCGGCAACAACAATTCCCTGAAACCGCAAGGGCCTAACCCCAGAGATGCGCTCTGAGTGTCTCGTGCCACTTGGGTTTACATGCCTGCAGCACTTCAATGCATTGAAATCGCAACAGACACCTGCCTCGCGCAAGCTGCGGACTTCCTGCGAGGCTCCCAGCAAAGAATGCCGAAGCCCCCTAGTCTCTATCATGTTTTGCTGACTTTCTGGCACCCTGGACTGGCTCACGATGGACAAGCCGCAACCTGATATCTTTTGTTCCTACAGTGACGAGAGGTAGGCTGGCACTTCCAATTCCGAGGCCAGTCCTGCGGAGAGAAGTCCAAGTGGTCCAGAAAGGGATCTCCCCGCTGATGCACTGCTGCCAAAATCGCACACTCCTGCGCTCCGGTACCAAACTCTGAATAATCCTTCCCAACACTGTGACGTGTTTTCAGATCTTACAGAAACGCTGCAGAGTAAGGCGGTCCTTGACGAGTCTCAGACGAACCCCATTCATCACCAGGAGGCCCACTTCAGGATCCAAGGGCATCTTCTGCAGGAACCGCCCGAACCATCTGAGTGTGGTTGCTCTTGTTGTTGTAAGGTGCTGAATGCTGGCACTAGTTTCTTGGCACTTTGCATCACAGCGCTCGAAGTTTCATGTTCGAGTTTACAGCTGCCACCTTCTGAGACTAGCCTGCCTCTCTTGCCTTGACTCTCCCTTCTGTTACTTCTGTTTGTCAATACTGAAGCAGCAACCTGAAGTGGCCCTGCGCAGGAACTTCGGCCGCACATGAGGATGCAACCGCTTCCCTGTAGCAGAATATTGCAACAGGAATTGAGCCGTGCCACGTCGGCCTTGCATTCGCACCGCCTTCTACTGCCGCAGCCTTGTCAAGTGCTTTCAGCTCCAGCAACCTCGCAGCGACATCGCACGAGGTGCAGGTTCCATGTCACTTCCGCTCTTGACCAATCCAATGCCGACCGTTCTTCCCCGTTTGCAGGTCCTAAGGCCGGGGCCTCGTGATCGCAGTCTCAACACGCAGCGGATCTGGTGCATCCGGCATCTGTTTCCTGGCAGTGCTGCGACGACAGCTGTCTGGCCCTCCTTGCAAGAAGCCTGACATCATGCCGGGGTGGCAGGAACTCCCGCGGATCCCCGAGGTTCGGCAGCTCGAAGATCGTAAGCAACACATCTTCGAGACGAGAGTGCCTGGATATCTTGGGGTCTCAGGGGCATTGACCACACTTGTCACTGTCATGACCGCCAGCGCTGTTCGTCATCACCATCACAATCACCACCATGACCAATCATCGTCATCATTCATTCTCGTGGAGTCTACGTAATCGTACTCATAGCTATCGCAACCGTTGCTGCCACCATGGTCTCCGGATCACTTGGAACATTGCTCGCAAAATCAGAAGCACAGCTGAGCAAGCTATAGCAAGCTTGGCATTCACATAACGTGGTGCTGGACACTCGCGCATCCGGGCTGCTTGATCTGAGGCTCGACATGCGGGGCCAGGCGGTCGTAACAGCGGCAGGAAATCATTCGGATCACAATACCTGCAAGCAGAAAGTGGCAGCTGGCCTTGTGAAAAGAGTTGTTCAAGCGTCGGCCAACCTACCAAAGACCGAAGGCCATATTGAACCGTGTGGCTTGATCGAGGTACGTCGGGTTGCAAGGATCAGGTGCGTGCAATCTGCTATAAGCTCGAGTATGCTCGAATCTGATCCCGAACAGGCCGCGCGGCCACGACTCCAAGCCTCGCTCCGGAAGCAGTTCTGATCCCCGTCACCCTGGACCCTGGCCTGGGCGAAGCCTGCCAGTGCGGCCTGCACGCTGCTTCGCCTCGTCCTGGCTGATCAAGAGCCTCGGGAGAAAAACTTGGACACTTAAGACTTAAGACTTGGACCTTGCCACGTGTCGAAGCTTCACGACAAGAAGCAGGCGGGGGACATAAACAGGGGTGGGGGCTAAATCGAACGCTTGAGCAGCATCGTGAGGAGGCTCTGCTTCTTGGACGGGTCCCATCGCAGGCGCTTGTGCTCGCAGCTGTCGATCACGAGGTCAACCTCCCCACATAATGCGGAACCGAAAGTGTTCCTAGCAGCCAGGCTCCTCACGATGGGAAGGATTGGAAGCAGTGCAATGCGACCGGGACACGTCCGGAATGGTCACCTCAGCTGGAATCTGGAAGATAAAGTTTACGGCGGGGGGATTTCGAAAACCAGCTCCCACCCCGCCCGGGCAAGCCCCAAATGGAAGCAAGGTGCGGAGGACTCGATCACGTCAGTCCCAAGAATGACAGTGCGACTCGCGGCAATAGCTGATTTCACCAGCGCCTTCTCCTGCACAGAGATGCAGGAGACGACACCCCAAGGCCCAAGCATACCCGCCCTGGGTTCACATAGGGCCGGGTCTGCCGACCTGAGACTCCACAGTCTGACCACCGAAGACGCACTTGATGTCCAGCTGGCGAACTCCGACAGCCTGCCGGTTCCCATCGTCCAACTTCTCGGCCAGAAGAGAAACCTAGAGAACTCGCTTCAGGGATGTAGATCTCGGCATCTGTGTGCAGATTCACTTTTATGATACAACAGCAGCACTGTTCACTTATGCCGAAACGCAAAAAGCTGGCTATCTCTGCATCTGTCATGCAACATCTCTTTCTTACACCCAGGCCTCGCGCTTCCCCGGCAAAAAGACCAGGAAGGACTCCAGCTGACCATCGTCTCGCGGCGGGCGCGTGCGGTGCAGCTCGGAGATGAACTCCGCGTAGAGCTCCGCTACCTCCAGGGCTTCAGATGGCTGTTGCAAAGTCTCGGCAGGAGCAAGATTGCAACTATCATTCCTATAGAAGACGGAGACCGACATTGCTCCGAAAGGGAGCCCAACGATTTGTCGCGAACCTCCTCCTGATTCCACTCCGCAGGCACGCCCATCACCTCCCAGATGCCGTCGGGCCTCTCGCGGCGATAGCCTTTCCTTGTCTGGATTGCAATCTGTGCTTCATTTGCAGGAGGGCGGGGAAACGTGAGAAGGGCGGGATGGTTCGTGATTCATCGACTCGCTAGCCGTGAAAGGAAGTCTCTGCCTCAGTGCTGATGCAAGCTTCGTCGTGAAGAAGTCGAAATCGTCGAGGTACTTCATTGTGAGAGGGTGCGGGCGGCAGCGGTCCAGGTCCATGAGCTTGGGCACATGACCGTTCAAAGCCTTTGCGAAGAAGTTGGTGATGGTGGCTGAATCCATAGCAGCACTCATCAGGACAATCTTGACGCGAGGATTGCGCTTGAGCACCCGGGTTACCACCAAGGTCAACAAGAAGTCGATGAAGGAGTCGCCTAAGTTTGCAACAAGGAGAGGAGACCTACAAGCAACAGAATCTGCTTATGCAAATGCATGGAATTCGTTGTTGTGCAGGAAGTGTAGTAGAGGTGAGTTGCGGATGTGCACCTCGTCAATAATCAGGTGCGTGAACCTCCGCACTATCGTCACATTTCTATCAGATCGACTCAGATCGACTTTGCACCTGCACGAACGGCTTGACATCCTCACAAGCGCAAACAGCCAAGCGGCGTGGTAGTCTCCTGCAGGCATTGAATCATGGCGATGGCTGTGACCTTACACAGCTTGAATCGGGTTTGGGAGTCCCGCCGTTTCCTCTGGAGGTCTACATTGCTCGAGCCCCAGACCCCTGAACCACAGACTGCTGTGTTGCTGCTGCCAAGCCCTGCCGTTTGGCTTCTGCTTCTCGCTGCAGCTGGGACCATCTCTAGCAAAGCTGCAGCAAAGACCAGGCGAGTGCGCCCAGAACGGCTCACCTCGCTGCAACCTGCACGGAGAGCTGCACATCAGGAGTCTGGTCTATGGGCGGGCTCGAGGAATGTTGTATTATCTGCAGAACTTTAGTAACTCACCCAACTCATATCCACTGCCTTCAAAGCACCGAAGCCTAGTGTGCGATCATGCAGCGCTGTGACAAAGAACTGACCATTGACATCCGTCGACCACTGTGCAGTCGCAGTCTTCCTGATAACTGATAAGGAATCCTAAGCCAGCCTCCAATTTGGAAGCCCACTTCTCCCCCTGGAGCTTCTCCGCGCAGTGCAGCTACGCGACCTCGTCACTCTGGGCGAGACAGCCTGACACTTTTGGAGTCTTAGACAAACAAAAAATGAATCTGAGTCCAGTGACGTGCCAAACTTGTTGCCGCCACTCGCCGAGGCTGTGTGCAAAGAATTCCTGACAGTGGATGAAAACAGCGTAAGTCCTTTGTACTAGGCATGACCTGCCGCATGAAACCACGTTGCGAGGTTTCACGGAGTTTCCGGTTGGTCTAGAAGCCTCATAGTCTCCACATTCCAAGTAGTGTCATGGTTCATCTCGGCCTAGCTTGCAGCAAAGTGCCGTGCATCATAACATGGCGCCGAGACACGCCGGTCGACATCGGAGTCCACGGCATCCAAAATCATTTGAGGTATTCCTGCGCTGGGCACAGGAATCGGTTGCAGCACTACGGTGGGAAGATCAGAGGAGACAAGCACTGCAGCGAACCGACTGACTTCAAAGCCCCCGTCCTGTGCTCTTTCCGCAGCCAGTGGGAGCTACGATCACCGTGACACGCTCGCTGTCCACCTGGGCCAGGATCCTCGGCGGATGCTCGCTTCGTCAGCTCCAAGGGGGTTTCAAGTGGCCGGTCTGCAGAACCCCCAAGGTCAGAAAACAGGGGTCAGCTTTAAAGTGCAAAGCTGCTGCAAGACCGTTACGGCGACGGGGTTAAGTGTCGAAGGAAGCACATTCAGTCCAGTCTGCTTGACCCCACAACCTTGCTTTGATCCAACACTCCAACACCCGCATCTTCACTAGGCTTTGAGGGCATTGAAATTTTGGATGGCCGTTTTGAAGTGAGAGCTAAACCACCCAGCATGTCGGAGCCGTGGGTCTCATCCCGCACTTGATCCAGCACGGAGCCAGTGTCCTGAGCAAAACGCACAGAAGACTCTCAAGCCGACTTATGTGAAATCTACCACTCGTTCAGCCTGTAAAACCAAAAGCAGCCATGAAGCCATGAACGAGGCAACCAGGAAGCACGTTGGGAACCTCCCCGATTTGCTCTGCATGTAAGGAAACTAATTACAGGGATAGTTCTCTGAATTTGGGAACCTTGAAGGACCAGGAACTTCAAGCCCGGACACTCGGAGTCGTTGCGGGGCCTTCGGCAACTCCAGCGCGCGCGCCGCCTTTCAAAAGGATCCAGAGCGTTTTTTGTGTTTGATTCAGGGATTTGTCGGGGCTTGACAGAAGTTCGGAGTCCCACTACCGATATTTGCCATACTATTGAGGCTGGGGCTAAACACAGGCTGTGTTGGGAGCGCCGACGGTGCAAAGTTCGTGCTGCACTTGGCTTCCCGATTGCTGCGTCGGCGTTTCGGATTGGAGTGCATTAGAGCATATTAGAGCATATTATGCTTTCAAGGCTCACAACAACTCCACCAGACCTGCGTTAGGCTCCGAGGACATGACTCGTCGCCAAAGTTTCGCTTGCCAAGGCGCCTCCGACGTCTCTGCAGAGCTGCGAGCATGCGAGGGTGCCGGGTAGAGGACGAGGTGAAGCGTCTTCGGCGTCTTCTCAGCCCGGGCCGGGGGAGCCTTAGAGCTTGGCGCATGGAAGTTGGGGGTGTGTGGAGGGCGGCACAAATGCCAGAGGGACTGCTTTTCATCCCTTGGTATGCCACATGAATTCGTTCGGCGATTCAGGGGTGCAATCGCCCTCGGGGATACAACAGGGGCTGACGGGCACATGTAAAGAACCGCCCCGTGCATGTTGAAGCCGCCCGACTGGACTCCCGTCTCGCGAGCCTCCATATGGCGTGCGTCCACCGTGTCCATGCCCACATTCGATGCAGCAGAATCTCTCGCTTCGGCAGTTCCGCTCGACATTGCCTGACATTGTCTCATTCCAATGTAAATGTCTTGTCAAGGAGGCGTTTCTAGCAATGCTGTCACCTTGCTTCGGATGACATCACAGCAATTGGAAGTCTTACTTGGACCCCCAATATCGGTTAGTTCCGACTGTGCACGCGTCCAGTATCCGCCTTTCAAGTATTCCCAAACACACCCTCATAAATTTAGGTTTTAGTGCAACCATCAGCGAGCTGTTTCACGGTGTCTGTCTGTCGTTGCACAAGCAGCTTGTCTCGCGACAAACTATGCCTCCTCAGGTGCGCTTCGCAAGGGTTCGGCTGGAGTCTGCAACCAGCGACGACCTTGGACCCCGGTGGCTTCAATGTAGTAGCTCGAGCCGGGCACTACGCAGAAGCGGATGGTTGAAGAATGTTATCTTCAAGCGAAACAAGCGGCGGGCCCCGGGCATCCTTCAGCTTCGTGGGCAAACACTGACGCACCCAATTCGAAGAAAGCGCATCTCCGAAGTCTCACAAAACATGCAACCCGATCAAGTGCAGCTTGCCGGCGCTCCATGACCGTCCCGATGAAGGACACGAGATCTGCCAACTCCACCTGAGCCGCATTTCACAAACACCCACCTGAAGTGAGCCGTATGCCCCACCTTCCCGCTCAAGTATCCTTGCTTCGGCTTGAGTTCTTCCACATCCAGCTTGGGGAAAAGTGCCTTCATCTCGTGCCTCATAGCTAAACCTCAAACGCCGTTCGTCCCTGTTCTTTGCAAAGCCACAGGCAACGGGTTGTTGATATCCTCCGGCCACGGAATGTAATCCTGAGACGTAGGGGCGGTTAGAAACCTTCGACAGTCAGCACACGTACTGCTTTCGTCTCGCGACGTCAGGCGTCGACGCTTGGAAAGTGCGAGTGATACTATGAGGACGCATTGGCGAGTTGCCAAATCCGCCACAGCCGGGCACTCGAAGAACGTGTGATGCAACCGGACCTCAGCGATGTGACCATGCACGACAGCCCGGAGTTCCAAACAGAGTGCAAAAAATCCTAGCCTCAAACCCTCAAACCCCAAACTCCGAACCCTAAATCCCGTATTGAACCTTTCCAGGAACCGCACTGCTCTTGCTGCCAGAGTTACCAGCAGCTCCTCATCGGCAAACGCTTCGCCGCAGGCCCGACAAGCCGGGCCGGCCACAAGCCTTGCCAGAGAGCCCAATACCCTGAAATTGGGGCTATAAAGAACAGACGAATTCCCGGATTTAAGGCCTTTTCCTGAATAAGGTCTCTCTGGTCAGAGAAACAAATGCAAGGGCTTTCGAGAAGAGTGGGATGGATGGAGTCTCTGGTCATATTGTAGTTGCCTCTTCTACAGATTACATCAAAGATCCGCATTGGCTCATCGATGAACTGATGATGGGTTGTGGACGGTGTTGGGATCTGCAGCTGTGTCAAAGCGCTCAATGGTCAAGCACGTGCAACTGTGTTGTTTTGGGGCGTGGAGGACTTGCCCCAGGTCCCAGAGTCCAGAGCGCTTCATCTGTACTACTTGATCTGAATGCTGACCCGGGTACCCGAGAAGCATCGTTTGGAGAAAATTGTTGTTAACTCTCAGACTCGAGAATGAAACCTTCTCGTCCCAGGATTCCTGCGCCACGAGAAAGCACTTGCATCGTGAATCCAAGCGGCTCTTTGAGCAGATCTCGCCACATGGCCTCTCTGTGATTTAGAGACTTCAGAGTTTAGGGATGCATTCACGAGTGGAGGGTGCATGCGTTTTGTGCAGGCGGAACCCAACATGTTGGGGACCTGTTCCCGGCTCCCGACTTGCATTACATGCGCAGAGCTGCTGCTGTCATGCTCCAGAAACATCTTCGGTTTCGTTGGCAAACCGCGTAGTAGGACGAACTTGTCTGCTATGAACCCCTCTACGGCTCTACGATGCAAAGGCATGGCCCAGTATGTAGAACTCCCGAGAAAGGCTAAACCCGGACACAGCTCATGCGGCCGTGTTTGGCCTGACAATCTTCGTGCCACATCACCGCCGCAATCAGCAGCCTGTCCTGACAGTGCACATCAGAGCTTCTCTTTCTCCCAATGTTTCCTGGCACCACAAAAATGCACCACCTCCCTCCCCTGCCTACATCCATGCATATGTTGCCACATGCAAAGAAATTGCAGTACATGCCTGCCTGCAGCATTTTGGAGTCTGCGTACACACCATACACACACGAACATGTAGCGGTGCAGATACCAAAGGAGGCATGTATAAATGCAGATCTACCGAACGCTGCGCCTTTCTTGCCAGACCTGCATACAAACGACGCAATCTTGCTTCACATCGGGAACCGTTCGAGGCACCCGCCCAGTCCTCCAAAACGTCGATGCTCGCTCCTTCGGCACGACAGTACGCTGGGATCAGCGTGGCGCTGCCTCGGTCAGGAAATACTCTTATACTGCAAGGTCATCTAGAGGCATCTAGGACTTGGGGCCTCTAGGGTGAAATTCGCAGTACTCAGAACCTCTGATCTGGTCCCCTGGATGTATTGTCTGTCTGCACTGCATTGTTCCACCCTGTCCGACGGGCGACAGAACTCCTCGAAGGATCTGTCCGCTGAGTCGAAGAAGAAGTCCCAAGGCTTCACGCCACCGGAGAAGTGCAACACCTGCGGAGAGCAAAGACACATCACAAAGCTCCCGGAGCCGGGGGAAAACTCGAGTCAAAGTGCGCCTATCCTATCCTATCTGTCTGAGACTCGTCCTTCACTCAAACGAAAAACAAATGTGATGCACAGGCCTTGATGCTGCCCAAATCCCGGGTGAGCCGATCTGCGCCGGCACCCTCGTGGCCCAGAGCGTAGTGCATCTGGTGGAGCTGGTAGTTGTACCTTCCAGGATCAGGAATTTCTAGGCACCTAGATTTGGAACCTGCAAGCGACGTTCAAAGCACCAGCTCTCATGCCCCTCATGACGCCGAGGCACTTGACATCCAGTGCATTCCATTTGCTCCGGAACCAGCGCGTCAAGAAGTCCTGCTCCGGACCGGTCGTGGCTTGGTGCATGGGGTCCCGCTCGCTGCGGACGCTTTCCAACCTCGGCGCTGGCAGAGACGCTCCAGTGAGCTGGGAAGCCTCCCTAGGGCAACTCTACACTGCCCTGCCCTTTTCGAAGCTCGACACCCATCAACTGCATCCCCTGAAACTTGACGCATCTTCCTTGCACTGTCGGGAGTCCCTCTCTGAGAGGCAACATGGTTGCAGTGGCAAGTGCCTAAAGTAGCCTGGAATCTACGGCTATCCACTGTGCATAGGAATAGCATGTCAATGCAAAGCAAGAAGCATCTTCTCGAGCTCGTTCTGGCAAGGTTGCAGGACTGCGACGCCTAAGTTCATGCCATACTGCTGCTGCCCGGACTTGTTGAAGAAGGACAATCCGATTTCCACCTGGGCAGGCACCACATACAGAACGCAAAAGTGAACCAGAAACTCAAGGAACAACCAGGCTGGAGATATCAGGACGACTGATGTGCGTTTCCCGTCACGCGTCCGGGAAACGCTTGATAATTACGCGCTAAGACGCCTTTCTAAACGATACCACAACTTTAGGCAAGTATGAGGCCGTACCAAGCTCCATCAAGCTTGTTTCCTCAACCCTCAGAACTCGTCTGTTTTTCGTCGCTCTTGTACTGAGACCGATTATGACTGCAAACTTTTGCACATTCTGGTCGTCTGCCGACTTGCAACATTCTCCGCAGCCATCGTTCGCGATCAAGTCTGTTGCATCCACCCCTTCTGGTGCGTGTGAAGTCAGGTCTAGCCAAGGGCTCAGAACAGGAAACATGAAGCCAACAGGCAGCACCATGAATGCGAGGCACCCCCGGTGGCAGTTCCTTGTGTCCGCGTCGAAGGGCCGCCGGCGGTTTGAAGTCCTTCATGTTAAGGACATGATGGGGAGTAGTGACTGGGCTCTGGAAAGCTCCGACCTTGAGCTCGTCCACATTGTCCGTGATAAGCAGGTCCAGGTCCAAGAGGATCACTCGGTGGTAGTCCGTGCAGCCGAAAGCGTGCCTGGCCCGCCCCAAACCTAGAACGGCCCACACGCCCATCCCTTCTAGGAGCTTGAGGCCGAGTTGCAGCTTCGTAAAGACGTGCTTGAAGCGCTTCTCACTCCTGGCGATCAGCTTCTGTGCTGCCTCAACGTACTCCACCTGAGCCGCTTGTCTCGAAGGAGCTCGCTTGTCTGTTGTCACCGTGCTTCACCAGCGCAAATTAAGCCTTTATCTGATGTTTTATCATGTCCCGCGGGCCTCATGCAGTTTCCAGTATATCTCCAGAGCACCAGCACCGGGTGCATCCAGCACATCCGGCGTGTGCCTGGGATCATCAGTCAGACCGCATGGCGATTGCGGTCTTCAAGTTGACGGTCTCAACTCGAGATGCGGGTTGGGCTACTTCCAGGACTACGACGTTGCGACAGGCTCCAGACTCTGCGCTGAAAGGGACAGCAAAGGAGCGAAATGTGCATGTCCAATATGCGGTACCAGCACGGCTAGGAGCCGAACCGTATGCGAGATGAACAACTTGAGAATGAGAATCTGCAGGTGAGCTGTATGCTGCACAAAATAATCTCAAACCATGCTAGAACTAATGCTAGGACTCGAAGAAGAAGGGGAACCGGCGGATCTCCGTCGTGTGTGCATGCGGTCGCACAGGGTTTTCTGAAAATCGCTTTGTGCCGTGTCGTAGTGCTGGGAAACATGAGGAGCCTCAGAACGCGTGGAGACCATTCAGACCCGGATACGGAGAACATGAAAACCCAATAGTCAAGCAAGCTGCAGCAGGACACAGTCATGGCGGGTTCCGGACTTCTTCAGAGAGAAGCCTGCAACGAAAAAGCCGCGGTCTCTCGGATACAGTGTGGAATAATGTGGAACGAACTCATCGGCGACTGCTGCCTCTGCCTACCTCAGAGCAGTCAAGCAACCCAGAACCATGGCGCCGAGAATGAAGCGCTGCAGCAGATCCTGATACGACAACGAGGCATGGTGAGTGCAGGCCCGACCCAGTGGCTCAACCGCACCCCGAAGACCTGTAGAGCCCTAGAGTCCTAGAGCGCCTGGCCTTGTCCGGACCGAAGAGGACAGCAACGTAGGCGCACTGCTTCGTCGGCTTCTGCTTCGGCGGCCCATGCGCTGGGGAGGTGCCGTCCACGGCGTCTGCCAGTAACTCCAGCGGCTTGCCACCTTCAAGGATGTGCTCGGAAGTGCAGAAGCCGAAGCGATGCCGCGATGCCCATCCCAACGCAAGCTCTGCAGGTGGCACAATGAGAGTCAATCACTACCAAGTCTATGCCCAGAAATGCCTCAAGACCTCATACATCCACGATGCAGTCAGATTTTGCGGCGAGGAACAAGTGGGGCAGAAAAAGCGATGCTTTGTATGGTTCCGCGCCGGTGAAAGCCAAACCACCTTCGGATGAGCCAGGGTCGGGGCTACCGGGAGTCAGACGGCTGGCGACTCTGTTGACATTCACGGGAGCTGTCTCTAAAGGACAAATAAGCTGTGTCGATTTCATGCCATACATACACCTATACATATGCATGTGTGTGTGTATATATGTATGTATATTTATGTATGTATGTACATATGTATTTGCCCATGTCAGAACTCGCTCCACCTACCTGTGTATCTGTCTGCCGAACTCTCTACCTACAGTACCTGTGTGTTTAGTGCGCGCGCTTTGTCTGAATGCATGGTGTTAGTCGGCCCTGATACACTGATACCTCCTGTTGCGTGCTGTGCCACCGGCTTCTCAGCACGGCCAGGCGGTGTCTCGTAGCCTGTGATCTGCACCTCGCTGCCAGCATATGGAGTGATCCCCGAGCTGAACGTTTGCGTGTGCTTGTGTCAGACGTGGGCAAAGCGACTGCAATATGGCCCCGCAACACGGGGCAAGGCCAATCCTTGCGACAGAACAGTGCCGACAGTATAATGACAACTCGTTGCCTTTGCGGGTCAACCGATGTAAGCAGGCAATCAGGACTCCGAGATTCAGCTTTGCCGCTCTCCCGGCTCCGGGTAGTTTAGCCTGCTCTCTCCAAGGCACGTTCCACGTCTCTGCATCTACCTGCAGCGGGATGAGCTTATGCCAGTGTCAAGGCATGAACACGTGGAACTTGAGTTGACGCGAGCGTCTGGCACTGAATCGGACGACTTGCAATTTGACGAAAGAAGGCCACTACCTACCCCGCTACCATAGCACGAATTTCTCATACATTCGCCAGATGCACTCAACAGTCATCAGGCTATAGGCCTGTAGGCCCTTAGGCCGAACAACTGTAATAGCGGCCTGCATCGGCGCTGTCTTGGAATGGGCATTTCACGAAGGAGCTATCGGTTGCGGGCGCAGCCTGCAACTCAGACTCAGAGTAGCCATTTGCAAGCATCTTCTCGAATGTAGGAATGAAGCTCTCAAGCCACATGGTTGCATTGTCGGCAAACTCGTCGACGATTTGATGCAGCGGGGTCGAGCCGGTGGGCTCCGCAAGCTTCTGCAAGGGGCACTTTGGTTCAGCCAGCTTGCCGTCAATTCTTGTCCAAGTGTAATGGTAGTTCTTCAAGCCACCTGCGTCCGTGTCCAACATGCCGCCCCATTTCTCCATGTTGAAGTCTTCGAATCCGGGACACCCAGATGGAATTCCGTTAGCATCGACTTGAAAATCCACATACAAGCCCATCTCACAAGGAAGGGCCGTCTCATCCTGACCCATGACGAACTTCCATTTCAGCTCACTTTCGTCGCATGTGTCCATCTCCTGTGAATCTGGATTCCAGTCTGGGCAAACAAGCTTCTCTTGCAGCCACTGGACAGGACCTCCAGCGACCGTGTCGCCGCGAACATGAGGCATCCACCTGGCCACGGGTCTGTGACCAGTTGCATTCCCCACGCGCTTGCATGGAGCTGCGACCCCTGTTGGATAATACCAATCCTTCTTCTTCGCGAGATTCCGGAAGTAACCGTTGTTGAACAACTTCTCTGACTTCGCCTTCCAAGTGTACCGGAAAAGACTGTTAATCACATGCACTCTTCCAAGTGTGTGAGCCCCCATGATAGCAACAGTCTCCCTGCCATTGAAGTTGAAGTCTCGCTTGAAGTAGTCCACAGTGCCTTGTCCGTTCGATTGCGGATTCGGATGGGTTTCTTCCTTGTCCTGCTTGTACGAAGGTGTCAAAGAGCTCAAGCAATCCTTCCTACCCGTCTTGAAGATGATAGGTCTCGGCATTTCCAGCTTGCAGTCTGGCTGTCCGTCACGAGGGTGGCATTGACCAGGCTGCAGAATCGTCGGGTTGTCGCAAGCCATGTTGTTGAGCTCCAGGCTGTACTCCACAGCAACAACTGCTGCGAAAGCCCAGAGATCAGCTCGAGACTTGCCTGATTGTTGCAAGGAAAGGGATAGCAGCGGTGTCTTGGCAGGAAAGCTTCGGTCGGTATAAATTGCCTCCAGAACTTCAACGACATAGCCGAGACCGTTGTTGTGGCCATCGCCCTCACCGTCAGCAGGAAATTTTCCCTTCTGAAGGTCAGAACGTGGGATTCGCACACCGACGCCCTTCCATTCAAGGCATCCGTCACATCCACCTGTGCCGTCTTTGTATTTCATGCAATCGTGAAACCCGAGCCTGAGCAGCTTTCCTGCACTGGGAACGGAGGTCCACTGCTCTTCCACCTCACAGGGTTGGCCGAAGCGCCCTAGCTCTAGCTCAAAGGCGCAACAACAGAACATGCCGATCCAGTTTTATTCCTCATGGGTTGTCATCATCCCCACACCATGTTGGAGTTTGAGATTTGGATCGATTTTTCTCCAGAGGGGGCAGTTTTGCACCGTCGGGGTATCTGCTCAGTATACTGTATACAGGTCTGAGATGGGGTCTTTGTAGCAACCTTGCCTGAAGACCAAGCTCATTGAACACTTGATTGCCTTCATTGATGATGCGGTGGATTTTGGCTCGCACATCCCGCAGCTCTTGCTCGGACCAGGCACCTCCAGGTGAACCAGGGACATAGGGTGTTGCTGGAGGTGCCGGCGCAGGCGCGACTGCACCCTCGCCCGAACATTTGTCGAAGTTCCAAGACTGAAATGCTCCACTCGGGGAATGGATGGCGGAGGTTCCCGCAAGCCTGCAGCTCCAAAAAGATGCCTCGTGGATAAGCTTCTCCTTGGGATCACCGCCTGAACCAGACCCGCCCACCCAGCGGCAGTAGTCATGGCACTCACCACAGCCCTGTACATCGTACCAGCCTTTGAAGTTGTCATGATAACCACCGTCGCCCCAGCCTGAAAACGTGGTCGGCGGCAAGCAACCAGCTGGTTGTGAGCATGGGGCACAACCTTTGCAATTTGTCCAGTTGCACTTCTTGTCCCATGCCGCGGTATTCCCCTCACACCACCCGTGGCAAGGCAGCTCAAGTTCAAAGGTATTGAGAACTTCTCCACGGAGCTTTGACCGCTGGAGCAAGCACTCTGCTTGCACTGCCCCTGCCCTTTCTTCGACGTGTTCGACAATCTCTTTCACCTCACAGTCGCTTGCAACTGCACGAGAGAAGAGTAGCAACAAAACCAATGTACGCATGGTTGGAGCAAGGTTTGCCCCTGAATCGGTTTGAAGGAAATCAAAGTACTTGCCACTTGAGCAAAAATGGACTACAGCAATGTGAGGCCATCATGTCTCGGCAATCGCCCTGCTATTTCTGAGGAGCCCAGTGCGAGCCAAGCATGAGACATGCAAGCCACCCGCACCTGGCAGTCCAAGCGAAGCGGGCACATGTTCCGGTGCGGGCACTTCGCCTGTTCGGATCAAAGGATCAAGCAAAAGCGGATAAAAACTCACGAGAACGTCATTAGGATGGCTACGATGATTGAAACGACGATGACGATATGATGACAAGGAGGAAGATAATCATGAAAGTGAGGTTGGTGCTGATGTAGATGTAGATGTTGCCGATGATGGCTGTGGTGATGATGACGCTAGTGATGAAAATGAAAACGATCATGAACATGAACACAAGGCTGATTACGATGATGTTGGTGACGATGCTGGTGATTGTGCTGATGCTGATAATGATGTTGATGTTGATGCTGTTGAAGGCCATGATGATGATGGTGATGATGACGATGACGAGGACGACGACAATGATCATGATGATAATTTCATCATCCGTAGAATGCTCATCATCTTCTTCAAGTTCATCATCATCGCCAACTTTGCCATCTTCATCTTGTTGGGCATGTTCATCCTTGTCCTAGTTTTCTGCATTCTCCTCCTCTTCATCCTCGTCATTGTCACCATCACCGACACCATCAACGTCCTCATGCTGTTCAATAGAACTTCACTTGGAATTTGCTACATGGTCCCCCGCCTGCAGCGACTTCCCATGCTCCAGCTGAAGACCCCCCAGCGGAGAGGGAGCTCCTCGGCCTTGGACACATGACAACAGTGGGGGGCCATCGCCCCAGATGTAGAGCTTGCTCTGCGACCTTCACAACCAAAAGACTTGGGCTGGCATACTATGTCACAAGTGTCCGATGCTTTGTGGACCATAATCCCAGACTCTGAGCGTCCTTTAGACACCTCCCTCCCACCCTAACACCAGCTTCTATCGCGCGCACTGCCCACAAACCCTTGCAGTGACAACTATGCTGGTCCTGTGGCTGCTTTGGGTGTATATCGATCCGCGTGGCCAGTCAGGCGCACCCGCAGACTTTGGCGATCTGGAGCTGCAGTCGCCGCGGAGGCGCCGGCGCTGCTTCTGCCATTTGGGCTGGGCCTGTGTGCTTACCAGGCTGAGCTTTTTCGAGGCTTCAAAGCTTGTCAGGTACCACCAGCCGGGGCCCGGCCTCGGCGCCGTGTCACACGTCGTCATGGGTTTAGGGCACCTCCGGACGAAGGTGTCTCCTGTGTCTGGAGCAGCAACTTTGGCTCTTCATGACCCATCGTAAGGAGCATTGGGCTCTTTCATTGCCGAACGCCTACACCGTCGGCAGGGATGAAGTCGCCCGCCGAGATGCAGAATTTGACGACCTGATGCTTCAAGCCGGGTAGTAGCTGCGCTAATACGTCCGCGTATCCGTAGCCGATGATGAACCGACGAAACGCTGCCACCGAAAGTTGCATGAATTAGTGTTCGGCCCCTTCAATGCTTTGCGACGTCTTCAGGATCCTTGAAGCCATCTTGCACGAAATGTGCTTGCAATCCCAGGAATGCTAGATGCGAAGTTAATTGACATCGAAATTTCGGAGCTTCTCGGGCTCAGCGCCTTTGGTGTGGGGAGTTCTTGGTCATCCCGAAGCTGCAGGTCACAGTATTGATTGGGGCCTTCCTCTGGCCGCTGCACATGTTGCACCGCACTTCACGTCGGAAGGGCTGGAACTACTCGAAACAGTTAATTTACCACCACTGGCCCGAACCCTCGCACGAAAGTCTACTCCGAAGTCAAAGAGGTTTCTTCGCCACGCTGCATTCTGGCGGATCCAGGCTTCATCAAAGCGGAAGTCTTCCACTTTGCCGATGTACTCAGAAAAGTTGTCCTGATCATGATGTGCTTTCTTCGCTCTGTTTAAGTATAGACTGCACCGCTGGAAAGGCGAGGAGCATTCGAAATGATCTTGACCATCGACCCCCGTTTCTGCTCGTCCACGGCCTTCCGAATGATGAACTTGTCCACATCCTTGGTTCTGAGTTCGGACAGGTGATGCACAGCACAGCCGGCTGCCGGCTCACTGTCTGTCCAACGCTCGACAGGGAGCCGTAATGAACGTCGTCGCTCTCTGAGTTGCAGCTCTGTGTCAGCATGAGCCGTTGAAATTACTTGCACTTCAGCCCTGATCTGAATTCCGCACCTTCTAAGCCATATCACCCTGAATCCCAAACCTGCAGGCGAGACTCCTCCCGCGCTGGGGTCACGCTCAAGCTCCTCTCCCACTCCCGTGTCACGTCCTCGGCGGCGGCGGCGGCGGTGGTGGTGGTGGTGGTGGTGGTGAGTTTCTGGTTAGTCATTTCACCAGATAAGCGCCCAACAAATTCGTCTGAATCAAGCTATCCATCTTCGTACGTGTACGTACACACATTATAGAGGGGTAGTGAGGATGCGAGGGAGTGAGGGAGGGAGCGAGTCTTGCACACTCTGAATGAAGCAAAGCATCTCCTGGATATTCTTGCTTCCACCGGCGCAGTAGGCCCTGTCACCAAGCTCATGCAACATTTTGCCTTATGGAGTTATGCTACTTCAGCCATGAGCGGTCTAGGCCATGCGGCTTTACGCAGCGGAAAAGTGCGATGGAACCCCATGATGCTGGTTCTAGATGCAAAGACTAAGAAGCGTAGCAGCATACGATGACATCAGGGTCGTCAAGTACGCAAGATGCGCAAGAAATCTTCCAGCAACGGAACCGAGATCTGCAGATGGCAACAGAAGTTTGAAGTGGATCCCTGATGCTCCAAGATGCTCCAAGAAGTCGCACCCAGCCTGGTACACGAAAGTCAGGACCTGCCAATCCGGCCGGTGTTCCTCACACCAGCGCTGCGCGCAGCGCAGCTGCCTCAAACAGGAGTCAAAGAGCCTAACTATGTTCAAACGCGCTTTAAAGGCATGTTAAAGTAATATTAAATTAGGAACCTCAAGGAATAGGCACGCGAACCCTTTCTTGATCTCCTTGTTGAGGAATAGGCACTATAGCCCCTTCTTGTCTATGCTGCCCCGCTGAAATCTTCGGAACCTCTTGCGGCTGTTCAGGCTACCATGACGCACCTGAGCTGAACTTGAAATACATAGCACAAGCCCAGCTCCCGAATTTATCAAGTTGTCCAAAGCTGCTGAAGATTCGGCTGCTCGAAAGATGCTCCTCGTCAGTCTTGGAATCGAAGGGTTGTTTCACGAATTTGTGACTTGGAGCTGACACCGCGGCGATTTGGGGCATCAAAATTTTGACTCTCTTGAGCTACCTCCGCAAGCCTTCTGAAGGCTTGAGTACGGGAACAATGGAAATACTAAGAGGCCTAAGTGGATTTACTGTTTCATCTTGTAGATCCACGAGACGGGCTGGGGGAGCAATCCTACAAGACTGTCCTTCGCATGCAATGTTGCGACCATCCAGGAGGTACAGCTGCCGAATCCCTTCCTCCTGCGCTTGACGCTACAGCAGGCTTCAGAATTCTCCTGAGTGGTAAAAGCAGTCCTTCTGATTGCAGGGTGATGCCATGGCACGTGGGGTTCTATGCACAAGTGAGAGTCAACATGAGCCTCAAGCTGCGGGCTGCTCCCTAAAGCCAGGGCAGGTGCACAACGACGGCCTACAGGCTTGACAAATTTCGGCTCTGTGCTGCAAAGCGATCCAGCCGCCCACGTGCTCTGACATGGGCTAGCGGTGACTGCACCTCTAGAAGTGCGGGAGCTTGAGAATGGAAGCTCCCTTGGCCCAAAGCTGTGTATGAGCATCAAAACCGGCAATAAGAGCGCAAGCCGCCGGTCCCCTTCAGGGGTGAGCGAACGTCGAGCGGGAGCCAGCTGAGACCGCCAGGCTCCAAAGCGAATTTTGCAAGCTTTACAGCGAATTTGTATAAATGCTTGAGATGCTCCGTAGTAAGAGCACACCGGCATCTCGGATCCCTGAGCTCTACACAGGCTTCTCCCTAGGAACCTTACCAGCAGATGCCGGAGCTTAGCTGCAAGACATGTTCTGCCAGAGGGAACACTTGTGGCCGGAAAGAGAACTTCTTGAAAGACTCTTTGCACTCCAACCAATTCTCAGGAAAAGTCTGCCCCAGTAGTCGCGCACATCCTTGCACGCATCATTGTCGGGTGTGTTTTCGAGACGCACAACGCCAAGTCGCAATCCAGATAGCGCTAAAGTCGACCCGAGAAGCGAGGATGCTAAACTGCTAGCTAAATACTTTTTGCCCACGAATGGAGGCACTTCCTCCAGAGCGTGACAAACCTGGCTTGGAGCATCCAGAATCTATCCGCTGATATTCTAATGGATACTACACTGCAACCTTTGTTGTGCTCTTTGCACAGAACACTAGCATCGAACTCTCGGAAAGCTCGCTCACCCATCCTGGTCAGACCTGGTTGGGGCCAAGTGCATCTGTCGCATCCTGCCTCAGAGACACGGCCAGAAATAGCAAGACTTCAGCTGTCCCACTCTTGGTCCAATACGATGTCAGAAAAACCGGCAGCCAAACCGTCTCTTAAGCACGCGAACAGCTGTCATCGTCATTTCTGCCTGGGGACATTGGTTTTGGATCGGCCTCGGCAGCAGTACCTGGCTGGGCCGTCACAGCTTGAAAAAATCAGACTTGCAGCTGCTAGCTGATTCAGTGCCTACACGCTGACATGCCATACCAACCTAACAATGAACCTACATTGTGTCCACTTAATAGAACCCCAAAATCGACAAACCCCTCTGCACTCGGAAAAAGCAGCGCAGTTGCAACAAACCATAGATGGCTTCATTAAGCGAACTGGTAGCCCGCGCATTCAGGGGTTGATCGAGTTGTTGCACTGTTGCGGACTGCGGACGCCGCGGTTGCCAAGATAAACTCTGCTACGATTTATCATGACAGGTATTCCGAGCTCTACTGCCTGAATTTCTGTTAACATGTCATCAGTCCTGCCTCCGTTTCCGGCACTGGCAGTCCCCAAGAACCTGGACCCAATTGCTTCGTCGATTCGCTTGCCCAGCCTCTCAGGGAACCACCCGATTGGAATTACGTTTACAATGTTCGATTAACCTAAAGTTCTGAACGTCAATGGGGCCAGTATATGAAAGCAGCTTAACAAGGACCGCGTCACCAGAAGCAATTGCTTCAAATCGTTTAAGAGCTCGCAAAACTTGAGTCTTGTCCATGCCCATACACAAGGTTTCGCTTGGTTCCGCTCAGACACACAGAGATCTGCCAGCTTCAGCCAAAGAATAGACATGCAGCGAACAACCACCCGCTTTATCCTAACCGCACAGTTGCTAAGTTCTCGCACCTTCGGCGATACTAGCAATTCAGGCTCTGGTGTGGTTGCCCACACTTCCATGAAAGTTTGGGCTTTGAAGCACTCGGGTTTACGGAATGTCTGACGGCTGCCTGGCCCTGGCCCCCGGCCTCATTCCCGGTGCCTCGAAAAAAGCATGGTAGGGCAGCGCAATGAGGCAAGACAGAGTTGTCCAAAGGGCGAACCTTGCGACGACGAAGGAACCCTCGACTGCTTGCATGTTCAAAGCTGCATCCTTCAGTCGTGAAGGTGTAGATAGCTTGCGTACCAGGGCATACTGCGACAGTGACGGACATGCTCTAACCTTCAGCGTCCCTGTTTCTGTGAGCAGGGGCAGAGTTTGGCAGTCCAGCAACTGGACCGGTGCTCGCAGCATCGCCCCCAGTCTGTCCTGCGGTGCAAGGCCTGCCCAGCTCAGATCCAAGCCTGAGCGGCGACAGCGATGTGTCACAGAGACTGTGCAGTACTCGAAGCCAGCTGCAGGGATGCGAAGGGGACATGGACATGGCTTGCAGTCAAAAATGGCGGAAGTAGCTAGTCAGCCAGTCACCGAGAAGCGGTTGTCGATAAAGGTTAGCGGCAGCGGTGCAACGAACTGCATCACATAGGCACCTGAGCAGGTCTTGTCTTCAAGCTCACCACTCTCGTGCCAGTGCAACAGCAGTCGAACTTCCCTTCAATGAAACTGGAAGAGCATACCACTAGCATGACTAGCATCCTACAGTTCCCAAAGCAAAGTACTGCGAGCAAATCATGGCGTAGACTTCTTGAGAGGAAAGAGAAAAATGGTGCAGAAAGCAGTGACAGCGACGAGGCGGCCCAGGCCCAGGCGCTGTAGGAGAGCAGCGCTAGGCGGAAGAAGCAGGAAGCGCCCAAGAACTGCTGGCACCAGTACCTCGCAACAACCGGTCTGGTCTCCTTCTTTCCGAATTTTCAGTCCCCAAAGGAGTAGTTGAAGAATTGAACTGCACCCAATCCGAGGGGGTGGCACCAGGGAACGAAGTGGCCCCAGAGGCCAGCATCCTTCTTGGGAGCCTTGGCCTCAGAAAGCAAGCTCAGCTTCCAGCTGAGCTCCTCGTATCGTCAAGACTGCTTCAATCTGAGGGAGTTCTTTATACGGGGCTCGGGTGGCAGGGGGATAGCCGAAGAGAACGAGGGCTGCGAAAGCCTGGTCTGTGCCAAGTGACAGTCAGAATTCGATAGAGGCATCTGGCCAGGCACCAGCCGAAGAGCGGAGGCCAGGAAACCTTAAGCTTAAGTCACTGGCACAGGGCGAGTCGGTTTTGTTTGCGGCCGTCCCGGTTTCAGGCCTGACTGAAGCGGTGCGAGGAGCCTTTCTCCCTGCCTTCGCTGGGCCTAAGGCGAAGCTTTCCTGCAGGGAAAGGCACGACGACCAGCTTCTCGACAGAGTCCGGAAGCAGTTCCCCCATAAAGCTCGGTGCCTGTCATTCGGCGGTTTGGTGCTTCGAAACCCATGTCTTTCAAGTCCCATGTCCCGGGCAACCCTAGCTTCCTTTGCTCCCAGGTAGCTGCCAGAGTTTTCAAGTTTCACGTGGTCTTTGTGCTTTAATCAATCGGCATTCGGAAGGACGGCTTCAGTGGTTGGAAAGCTGGGCCATCGTGCCAGGGTGCCGGGAAGTAGTGGTGCCCCACCAACCCAGAAAGCAACAGCGACACGATGGAGAGGCCATCAGCAAGCGCTGCACAGACGACCTCACATCAGCAGCTCGGATTCTGGGAAGGTTCAGGGTTGAGGGTGCAGGTGGGAGAACACAGCAAACGCCTTTGAGGCAATATCAGGAACGATAGAACCTGCCTGAGTATCTCTGCGAGGTTTTGGCACTTGCTGTTCGGTCGGGCCCTCAAGCTCAGCAACTGCCAAAACCCTGCAGTTGTATATCTGCAGGGGGGGAGCTGGTGAAGGGTTGCAACGAAGAAAAACTTGAAACAGGACAGTTCGAAACTCTCCAGTCTTCATTCGTGGCATGTCTGGCTGTCTGGGCAGTGGCAGCATCAGTCGCAAGCATAACCATGCCAAATTACCACCCTGCAGTGACAACGCCAACATGTCAACACAGACGAAGACATGATCAAACAACTTCGAACGGCTACAATGATTTATAGATCGCAATACACACTTGTAGCAGCCCAAGCCAATGAGCTTCAGGATACATGTCACGGTTACAGCACTCCATGCTGTGGCACGGTGGCAGACCTGACCAGTCTTTTCGTGCAAGCTCCTAATATTCAATCCTGACATCCTCAAGGTGATTCTCAAGTCGCCATGGCCAGTCCAATGCCGGCTCTCTGGGATTAAGTCGAACAGTACTTAGCCAACGGCGGACCTTCTGCATCGTGGCGTCTTGAGTCTCACACTCCTGGGAGCACGAGCCGTCCATCAGCACTTTGGGCTTCAGGAGCTATGGTTCTAGAGCTTTTGGGGATGCAAGATGTTGATTCGGTCGCCGAATCTCCATCCTGTGCCCCGAAACGCGTGAAATAATCCTGATATCTACCATGCTCTGGAGAAAACAACTAACTAGCAAACTGACCCAGTCGAGACTGCTTGACTTGGTTGCTTCTTGTGGCTTCTTCCTGGCCTCCCTCAGGACAATTCATCGGAAGGCGGGGGATAAGGAGAAAGGAGAGAGGGGAATCCCGTGCGTTGAGCTGTGGGGCTTTGTGTAGAACTTTGGCTTCCTGGGGCACGGCTCCCCGGCGAGCCTGCAAGGCCAAGTGCAGCGCCATGCCGCCTTGAGACGTGCACGGCGAGGAGGATGGCTTAGGAGTGTAGCTTGGGCATGATTGGGCCAGTCCAGGGTCGGCTGTTCTGATGCGTAGGTCTTTCTGAAGGAAGGCAGGCAGCCAGGGTGTAGTAGCTTGCAGCGTCAGGGCTTAAGATTCTTTCGAGTACTACATGGCTTCTCGTGTGGCATCCTCTCCCTGGTTTGCTGAACGGATTGTTATCTGGGCACGACTCTAGACGCAAGCATCAGCACTTACCCGATGCTGCACCAGTTCCACCAAGGCACTGAGGTAGGGTGAGATCCGGGCGAAGACATTGGTGTAGAGCGGCGGGGGAGGCCACCACGGCTCGTCCATCCTTGACACAGTAAAGACAACAAGCACTTTTTAGTGCTACAGACTGCCTCGACAGGAAGTGGGGCCCGTGCCGGAAGCACAAGCTCTGAAAGCAGAACCGCACCGCCATAGACTCCTTTGAGAGATCCATGAGCGGACTGCTTCCCAGCAATGCCTTCTCTGAACAACTGAACCCGTGCACCCGAGGACCCAAACCCCGAACCCTTGAACTATTACTCTGAAAATCTCCCAACCTCCAAGCCTAAATGCCCTTGGACTCCAGAGCCTGGAAAGCCTCCTCAAAGCCTTCGGACGCTTCGCGCCACGCTGCATCTGCGGCGGTCCGAAGACCCACCAGGCCCGGAGCCCGAGACTCAAAAGGGAAAGGCCTGAAAGCTCAGACACAGGGGACTCCTTTCAATGTCTGCTATACTAGAAGGTGAAGTATTGTACAATACAAGATCGTACACTGTAATGCAATACAAAACAGCCTCACATAAGATGAGATACTTGACATAGCAGAATATTAGGTGAGGTCAGACAAGATAACTGAAAATGAGATCAGATCTGACAAGGGTACGAGGGAAGACTGGGTAATATAAATTGATGTCTACTATATAACTTAATGCAATCTGTGTTCAAGGACATGATAAGATCATATCAGGTCACATGGAGCCATTTAGGGGAAATAACTAGTATAAGACTGTGTAAGATGGTTGAAGGTCATATAAAATATCATCAGACAATATCGCGTAACATACTTTACGGCAAGTAACAGTACATGATGATGCTAGATAACAACATCTAACAGCATAACATCGAATAGTACAATACGATGCATCGTAGTGATAGGGCTGAAAGCATCGCGGACTCACGGCTTGAGGTGTTTGTTTTAAGTAGGGGCCGACTTTCGCATGTTCAAGGTTTAGAGGGTTAAACTTTAAACCCCTTGAGTCCAGTTCTGCACTCCTACAGCCAAGACCCCATACTACACCGTACTGTAATCCCACTAGCCATGAAAGCCATCTACACTTACACCCAATCGAATCGAACTCAGAAGACAGCACCTCCGAGCAAAGCGAAACCACCGCGGCGGCGCCGACCGGCCGAAACATTGAAGATCAGTTCGCTGAGCAAAGGCGTGAGGAGATACCTGGCTTTGCCGGGTGGCATTTCGGGCAAGGCTTCCGTGGATGAGTTTTGAAGCAACCACAAAGTCTTCCTAACTGGGTCTTTTGGAATGCGCAGGTACGCCTAAAGCTTTTGGGCTTTGCGGCTCTTGGCACGAAGCTTTCAGGCACCGCGGGAGCGGAGAAAAGCAAACCTTGCGGGCCCAGGCGCATCTGCATCTCGACGCTGACGCTCCAAAGGTGGCCGATGCCTTGAAGACCAACCCCAGCGGTAAACTGTTCAGCTTCGGGTACTGAAATCGTTTTGTAAGTATGAGTAAGTTGAAGGCTTCAGAAAAACCGCAAAGCCTCGGGCAGTCCAACTTGAGCACAAGGTGCCCGTGATTCCGAGACTGTTCGGGAAGAAGTTCGGCATCAAAATCCTTGGCTTCACAGAACCCCGCCAGCACTGGGATTGCACTGGCAGAAACTTTCTTCTCTGACCTTGCATCTCCGCCATGAAGAAGCTATCATGTTAGGTTACAGTATGTTATGTTGGTAGTTATATAGTACAATATATTTATTAAAGAGACCCTAGAAAGTTCTTAAAGGTCTCCTATCACACCTCGGCCTCAAAAAAGAAGCAGCGCTGCAGCCCGGAGCGCAAGTATGGCCAGGCCAGGGCCGAGCGCCAGTGCACCGCGAAGTCCGGAGAGCCTTGGCTTTCTGACCTCTACTTACCTTTGGTTAGTAGGGAATGGAGGAATGGATTACAATTATGACTACTGTTACTACCATTCTTCCATTCCCTACTAACCAAAGGTAAGTCTAAGCAGAAAAAGCCATAACTTGTACCCTTGTGGCTAATATAACTTTTCCGGGGTGCTTCGGTGCTTCTTGAGATGGCTGTGGCTTTGGCTCATGCTTTAGAGTTTCGGTGCTTTTTTTGCGGTTTCTTGGGCCGGGGAGCTAGCAGCCATCAGGAAGGCGGTGCCCACGGCAGCGACGACCATGGGCCTTGACAACATCAATACTTCCATGTAAAGACGATACTAATGACGGCATCAATAGATAAACACACGGATCAATAAACAAAGAAGAACAGTAGTTACTAGTTTGTCATAAGTATAGTTAGTGAGCATTAGCGTGAATTAGTATAATTAGCAATAAGACAATAAGATATAATCAGCGCTGTTCACAAACAATGCACGCCTTTGAGCGCTTTGCAAGCCCGGGCGGCCAGATACGAAAGACGCGGCGGAGGCAGAAGAGAGCTGCGTGAAGCGGGCGCGGAAGCCTCCTGCGGCCCAGGGTGCGTCTCTGAGGCTCTAGAGATTGTAGAGCTACTGAGGCCAGCATGCATTGCTGCAAAATTTCGATGCCTCGCGATTCGACGACATCATTGACAAAACCGATCAGGGCGCCTCTCAACATCCTTCTGCAAGTAGGTGCTGCCTTCAGCAAGGCATGATCGGGGGCTTGGCAAGCCAGGCACTTTTCCGGTGCCCCTTGTTCCGGTTTCGAAGCCACGACGCTTCAAGTGCTCAACTCGCCCAGAACGCGAAATCCGAGAGACCGCTGCAATTGTCCAAGCTGCTGATCAGCATGCCGCTAAGCACGAAGAAGGCATCGACCCCAGTGTTGCCTGGAGAGTGCAGGGTTCCTGCATGTGAATCGTGTCGCTGCGGCAAGTGAAGTCTTGAAGGCTAAACTGCCAAAACCCTCCCAGAAGCCGCCTTGAAGCGCAGGCTGGCTCCACCACTGCAGCAGAACTCCTTTGCGGAGCCTGGGATCGGCAAGCTCCTCTCCGGTATACCTGAGGTCGAGGAGAGCTCGTCTTCTCTCTAGGAAGCAACTTGATCAAGCTGACCCGAACTGTCGCCGCTGCGAAAGCCGGCAAAGAACACATTGCGCTCTGGAGACCATTCCAGGCCGAGGCGCACATTCGCGAACTCCGAGCGGAAAGAGTGAAGCGCAAAGACCCATCTGAGCGTTTCTACGGAGGTCTTCGGAGCTCTGTTCGACCGCAGCTAAAGTCTGCAAGTGTCTGAAAAAGAAGCAACACATGCAGACGAGCGCCGTCCCAGTGCAGCAGCGATCTCGTTTGTTTAATCGCTGACTTTGATGACGATGGATTCTCTTCCGAAGGATCTGAACTGACTGACGCATTCAGTGGCGATGCCAGGCCCGCTCAGGCAACATCTGGAGGCTGAGGAAGTTGTCTGCGTGTCTGCGGACCCATTACGGTTCAAGACAACCACCAGCAAATCCCGCTTTCTGTTCTGTTGTTTTAAAATGGCCCAAGGCACAAGAGGGCAAGACAGCGCACACCGTCCAGCGCTGCCAGGCGCCCTGTGTCGGACACTTTGGTGCCTGGTGTCGAGTCGGCGGGGGTCCAAAGATTGGGGGTCCGAGGTCGAGTTCCCCCCGCTGCTGCTGCCCTGGCGAACAGGAAAGCCTGCTGCTGCACCTTGAAACGCCTGAAAGCTTGCTTGTGGATCCCAAGGCGCCTTAGCGAGCACTGCTCCCAAACGTATATATGCGACTCAGGCACCGCAGCAAATAACTCGCTTTAGGTCTTGCCATGGAGCAAGCACGCTACCGCCCATGTTTGCTGTCAGGATTGTCAGAATAAGCCACACATGATGACGTTCAACCAGACAAGCATCTGCGGTCACTCTCTCACGCTTTACTCAGCTGTCCCTCTCCTGACATGTAAGTCTCTACTGATAACGTTTGTCGTCACCCTACCTCCAGCCACGGTCCTCTCGAGCCACACGGAAGTCGACCAATAGCTCCGAGGCGCATGTCCAAAACTAGGATCTTAGGGCGCCAAACTTGAAGACAAGGATCCGTACGTATCAGTACAAATCGTGGAAGAGTGGTCGGGTGGGTAATTAGCTGAAGTCACCCCGGCTCCTCTTCGCTAGGCGGTTTGGAGCGGATGTGCGTGGATTGTATAGGGATGATGAAGCGCCTCGCTCGCCAAGTTTCGCTCCGTGCATTTCTGATCGGCAACTTGGCTGCGAGGTGCTTCCGAGATTCCCTAAAATGGCCTGTCCCACAAAGAACTGTGCTCAAGAGTAGGCCTCGAATAAGAATGGATTGACCTGGCGGTTACTGCAAGAGGGTTCGATATAGTCGCAAGAGCTGAACGGTAACTGCCAGGGCCCAAGTGCAAAGAAGAGTGCACCTCTAAGCCAGGAGGAACCTGAGAGCTTGCCAGATGTCTCTCAGCTTGGAGTATGTCATTGGACAGTGCCTGGTCCTCTTGTCAAAGAGAGCACGCGACGCTGGAGAGGAGCGAGGCCTTTGGCCTCTGACGGCGCTTTAACGATCGCTCAGATCTTGCCAAGCTCCGTTGCTCGCTCCTGCAGCACAGATGCCATTCCTACATGTGCGCATGCGCCTCAATTCGCCTAGCGCCTTTATGAGTGAAGGTGAGGGGAGGGACCTTGCATCTTCCGGCAATTCCGCAGGGAAGTACTCAGTAGTTCACAACTCACAAGCTCGCGGGATCTTCCGACCTAACCCCGAAACCCTAAGTATAACAGCTAAGGGCACATTCGGTGCGAAGACAACTGAAGGATACTGAAAGCATGGCAGCTTCAGCCTGAATCCTCTGATCAAAGCATCAGTCCTTAGAACCTGGAGACTTCTTACCTTTACTAATTATGCTCCAAACTATACTTAAGCATTCTAGAACTTACCATCATATACCACAACATGCTGACCACTCCGTGATATACGATACTCCTGCCACTTTTCCGCAAGGCCCTGAAGCTTGAGAATCCTTCCCTGGTGTCCTTCGCGGCCGTCACTGCAGAGATCACGGCGTTCCGGAAGCCGGTGGCTTCCAAGGTGGTAGTCCCTGGCAGAGTTGCTCTGAGAACCACAGTCGGATTTAGAATCGAGGCTCCATTGTTGAAACCCGCCCTTTTCTGCTCCACTTCCCGAGGGTTAGCGGCTAGAAGAAGCTCAGGAGGCGCCTGCGATGGTCGTACCGCCGGGAGACTCCACAGCATTTCGGAGCTGGGCGGGATGCCTCAAGAAGCGATCAAGAGAACATTGATACAAGCACCCCACCATGCCTGCACTCACCCGATGACGGGTCTTCGATTGGAACTGCTGTTTATAAATCATGGGGGACAGGTTGCAAGGATTCTCGTAACGACAAAAGTTGATGGGTAATCTGGCACCTAGTCTTAGATTGCGTGGATCCCAGCCGCTTGTCACCCGCGATGGTCATCTTGGCTGCGCCCATGACCTGCACATAGCTGGCTCCGGGACGGTCTCCCCCAAGAGCCTCCTGACTGCCCCGATCTGCCCCGAAACCGCCTCAAACCCCAAACCCGGAAGGCTTCGCAGATGCAGCCGAGAAGTTTCGGCAGGAAGGAGCCTGAGGTGCTGAGGAGCTTGGTACCCACTAGGTCGACACATTGAGCTGTCGACAAGAAACGACACCCGCCTATGATCCTGAACTTCGATCATATTATGGCAAAGCTGGAAAGCCATTGAAACGCTCAAACCCTCATGTGCAATGGCAGCCGTTGACAGCCCCTGAGTCAAGCCCGACCAACTTTCAACTCAACTGATCGAAGCAGACCGTCTGCGCAGCCAGCTTCAGCGCCACATCTCGGGTGAGGCCATTTCTGACCTTGGAGTAGCCGGGTAAAGTTGTCTGGGTGGGGCTGCAGGTTTGGAGTGGTCCGGGAGCTTGGGGTGTGCGACTCTGAGTTTCGACCTTGTTCCCGTTCCTTGCAGTTGCTCCGGCCTGCCATGCTACACGATCCGCGGGTACCTTGAAAGGACCGATTTGCTGCTCCTCACAGACTGCCATTTCCAACCTCGTGACAACAGGCGGAAGATTTGTGTTAACCTCTGAGCCTCGGGCGCCACCATCTGCCATGGCCTCGATCATCATGTACCTCTGAGTCTCTGAGTCTGGGCTAGTCTGGTCAGAGGAACCACTCTCGGGCCGATCGTGAGTTGACAGGCAGCAGATTTCCAGGCCGCAGGCTTGCAATCTAAAGCAAAAGTGACGAACACTTGGCGCCGATGCTTCAAAAGCCGACTCCCCAGACCCCCCAACCCCAAAATCGTATAACACTACATCCCGAAAGCCTGAAATTTGGAAACTCTGAAACCCTGCAAGCCCCGCAGCCAAGGCGCTGAAAATTCCAAACCCCGGATGCACTCTAAGAGCCGTCATGTCTGGGTGCCCGGGCACATAGGCCGGGCCGCTTCCGGACAGCCCGGTTACGGCATCCTCTCTTCGATTCAAGAAGATTTGCAATAGTCGAATTTAGGGCTTGTAGGGCTCGGGGGTCTTTGCACTCTAGGACTTGTAGGGAGAAGGTCTACAGGCTTGTGTGTTCTATGGCTTATAGGGTTCATAAGCCCGTAGGGTCAAAGGCTTGTAGGGTTTTGCAGGGCTCGGGCAGTCTAGTGCACACTTAATCTCTAGTGTTCTGTCATGGAACATGTACAGTGGAACGCAGGTACCAAGCATCACCAGTGGCTCTGGTCCAGAAGCTTCTCGTCGCCCAGCTTCTCACACACGCCGACTGCTGACATCACCTCGAAGAGAAGAGAAGCATGCTTTAAGAAAGATTCGCTGGGCAACTGCAGCACAACTCCTGCTTTGAGAGGCCCTTTGAGGCCTCTATGCCCTATGCCCCCCCAAGTCCCAAGGCCGGGGGGCCTTTTCTACGATGGCGCCGTCCGTGGGCAAAGCACCTGGCCCAAGCACCTGCAAGAGTTTCGGTGCAGCAGCGCTTGGAGGTGAAACACACACACACACACAGACAAAGCTACTCTCAAGAAGATGAAAGATCTCTCTAAGCTAGAAACTTAGCGAGACCAAGCGAAAAGGTGTGGAAAGCCCGTGGCACGTAGGCCGACGCGCCGAGGCCGACCAGCGCTGGGGTGTTCGGCATCGTCCTGGCCTCGAGAACTCAGGAAAGCGCTCCACCAAGCGGAAGGCAAACGGGTCAACGTCGTCTTTATGTCGCAATCCCAACCCCAGCATTGCACCTACTGTGAGAGCCCTTGAGTTCCGGACAACTCGTCTCAGGCCCATGTCTGCAAGTTTCTGGAGGGTCACCTGATCGTCAAAAGGATCACGCCTGTATCAACAAACCGCAAGACCCCGAAAAGCAAGGCTTGAGAGAGAAGAACGGAGCAGGACAGAGGAACCGGAGACAAAGAGTCACACTTCTCTTGAAGGTGGCATTTCTCTGGACCATGCTCATGATGGCACCTCGCTGCGATGCTGTACATTCGCAATCCATCAATGCTTTCCGCCTTTTCGCGATGACCACATCTCTACGTCAGCGCACGAACGTCCACCACTGCATCATAACGAGGCGGCTGTCCTGCTTGTACGGATATTGTGTGTGGCTGTGACAATTTAACATCGCGCTCGTCTGATGTGGAAGGATTTAGTCAATGCCGGGCTTCAGGTTCTGTTTCCTCTGCTTATCATGACTACACTGACTACATCTTACGCTCGAGCAGATACATGTCGTCGTGGAAGCAATAGCTTTTCGAAATCTCGTTGGATTCTGGCGCCAAGGAGCCCCTGCCATGATCGAGACAAAGAGCGGCGAGTCGCTACCAAGGCTCAGGCCGCCTTAGGAGGAGAATGGGCATCAAAAAAAATAGAGGACTTTCTTGCTGGGCAGCTTCATTGATAGTTCACTTTTTGCTGCTATCGGGGCTCGGGCTAACCTCCACTAATTCAGCAGCTCCACCATAAAGCAGCGTCATAGTAGTAGTAGTAGTAGTAGTAGTAGTAGTAGTAGTAGTAGTAGTAGTAGTAGTAGTAGTAGTAGTAGTAGTAGTAGTAGCAGTAGTAGTAAGGCATCCCCCCCGGTGCGACGCCCAAACCTCTTATTTTTGGGACTTGCTGTGGTCGGAAATGCTGTGTTTTACAGCACTTTTTTTCCGCAGTTATCGAAAGTGGCAACTCTTCCTGGTTTCGTGTGTATTTTTATCACATTTTCTAACATTGTCCATCAATCTCGCACCCGAAAATGCTGCTATTTACAGCACTTGTCTTTGCGAATTTCATGATTTTTTACTGTTTTTGGGTGTCGCGATTTTCGTGCCCAAAACCTAGCGATCAGAATCAAGGTTTTTGGGCCTCATTTTGATCATGACTTTCATTCAAATCGTTGGTTTGGAGAGCATCCATGTCCAAAACCTAATGACGTCCATGGTCTAGCGCATTTTGGTTTGGAGAGCATCCATGTCCAAAACCTAATGACGTCCATGGTCTAGCGCATTTTGGTTTGGAGAGCATCCATGTCCAAAACCTAATGACGTCCGTGGTCTAGCGCATTTTGGTTTGGGGAGCATCCATGTCCAAAACCTAATGACGTCCATGGTCTAGCGCATTTTGGTTTGGAGAGCATCCATGTCCAAAACCTAATGACGTCCATGGTCTTGCGCGTTTTGGTTTGGAGAGCATCCATGTCCAAAACCTAATGACGTCCATGGTCTAGCGCATTTTGGTTTGGAGAGCATCCATGTCCAAAACCTTTCGAAATGTTGCTTCTTTGCATCGCACCGAGCGGGGATGGTACTTTCCACTGCTGTCTAACAGCTTACTCTGTGGTTCACTAGTTCAATAACGAGTAGAGGCGCAAGAACCGCACATCAGCAGCATCCAGCATTATCATGTTCATCATCACTTTCGTCAGCACCATCTCGAATAGCATCATCATGAACATCATCATCATCATCATGATCATCTTCATCTTTATGTTAGGCCGGATTTCTTTGAGCCTGTGTTCCAGTTGTCTTCCATGTTGTACATCCACGAACTCAGCGACCCGCGGTGCCGCGTAGAAGCAGTCCCCGAGGCGGCTCTCGCGCTAGCAGATAAATATGATTGCTACCATCGGCTCCAGTCGGTCTGACACAACCGACGAGAACACAGGAACGATGATGATTATGATGATGCGACTGCTGCCAATGTTGATAGTCGTGGTGTTTCTGAGCACATGGTGCTTGCGAGAACAAACCGATGGTGATGCCTGCGATGATGATGGTGATGGTGATGCCGATGACGACGATGATGACGACGGCGATGAAGATGAAGGAGGAGGAGGAGGAGGAGGAGGAGGATGCTGATGATGGAGCTTGTTGATGTTGCCAGAGTCTGATGGTGATGCTGGCAACGATTCACAAAAATGGCTTCTGCTGAACAGGAGCTCAGCGCTGCCGATGCCACCTGAAGCCAACTGCCGACAAACGCTCAAGAACAAAAACAGTTGAATACGAACCCATAGTCAACAAGTAGTGTCCCAGATAAGAAGCATAACTGCCACAATGCTTTCCCGAGAAGTCTATGAAACTGCCTGCGGCTTCACGGCCAGGACTACAACACCGCCGGCGCCCAGGGAGCTCACGACCTGACCAGTTCGTGCCAGAGGCACAGCGTGGTTGCTGGAAGCATCCGGATCCTCTGCCACTTTTTCCACCTGCCTGCTTTCATCAAGACCTTGCTTTTGCAAAACTGACCTCGGCATTTGAGGCCGTCGTGCGGACGCCAAACCTCAGCTTCTTGCGTCTCCAAGGTTGCACAGCGCAGGAACAGAAGCTCAACGGCCCGTGAATTTGCGCAATAGCCCCAGGTTGCAACATGTCAGCAGGAGAGTTATGGGATGCAGAATGTTTCAGAAACGGGTTTCTGCTGCACACGGCAGCCAGGGGCACCAGGACTGTTCTCAGCTCCACTGACCACAGCCCAACTAAGAATCGTGCTTGCTTTCGAGGTATGCTCTTCTGGCCTGAACGGCGGAGAGGCGACAGCACGACGATCGTGAGATGTTGTCCAGCTTGCCACAGCCTAAATCTGTGTCAAAGCGCCGCTTGAATCAAATCCTTGTTCGAGCAATGCTCGCATTCCCTGTAATTCCAAAACAGCCTCCCCCACAAGATTACACGCCATGCCGCTTGACCCGTCGTGCCTCCACGGGCTCACTGACGAGCGCTTTGCTCGCCTTCACAAAACGCCCGGCACAGTGAAAACAGATACTGTGTCTGAGCAGGAGTGTTCTTGACACAAAGGACACTACGCTAATTCTGGAGATGGTTGGAGAACGTTACCTTCGTTGAGTTCAGGCAAGAAGTTTCATCTTCATGGCTCGGGCGTCCGAAGCCTGCTACCTTCACACTTCAGGAATCCTATAGCGACTCCGACCATGGTCGTGCTTGAGTCTGTAAGTGACCCGGCACCTCCTGCTTCAATCTTACCTTGTAGTGATTGTGATGAAAAGTTCTTCTCTGTGACTTTATGATGAAACTCCTCGAAAAACACGCTACGAGGCCACGTCTTCGCCTCTGCAGTGCCCTGGGCCAAGAGGCCACCAAGCAGCGCCTCACACCTGAAGCTTTCACAGAGGTGCCACTGAGAAAACCCAATATTCACTTCTTTGATTCCTGGAGATAGATGGGTCAACTAAGATCCACTGCGCCTTGTGACTGGCCTGAGGACTACTCATGTCTGAAATGTCTGAAGTACCCTAGTGGTTGTAAGCAGTGACAAAGTGGGGTTTTGCTGCGGCAAGCTTTCGCCACTTCGGCCGTGTTGCATCTGGCCGCCTCCCAGGAAGCCGATCGTGAGCGGGGCCTCCCAGGGAGACGCCATCTCACCACAAGACGGCAGAGGCAGAGGGATCGGAACGGAGCTCGCCCTTGGAAGGGACTCACTCGCAAGAGCGGCTGTCAGGCCAACCACATGTCAATAGCCCTACGATGATGCCTGCGCCATGGCTGCAAGCTCTCAGCAAGAAGCTGCTCTTGAGCCACAAAATCTGCAGGAGCAGTCTTGCCATTCTGAGCTGTGAGCTCACACTGCTAGCAAGGATCACTAACCGTTGTCCGCCAGCACTAAACGGATAAGTCCGAAAACACTGCTGTTGCCGCCCCCGCCCCCTTCTTCAAAATCTGCAGCCCTGCCCCACTCGAGCTCAGAGCTCTCCAGGTGCATATATCTTCTGAAATGCTGCAAGGGCAGATCCACCGGTGATCTCATCAAGCTCCAGGCTGCAGATCACCTCTGCGTTGTTCTGCCGGAGCTGCATGAAGCGCTGAAGTGGGGAACCTGTCGGAGGTGGCTGCTCCCGTACTTCGTGACTCCTTGCGCCTTTGCTCTGCAGACGGCATTCCACTCCCAGGATCCTTGGCGCCAGACCTCCTTGTTGGAGGTAGCTCAGCAACAACGACCTTGGAACTGCCATCGGCTCTCTGAAGCATCTATACCCTGCGGACACGCACAAGAAAGCTGGTATTCCCTCGTGGCTGGAGTTCAATTCTTGGACCAGACATCTCCCTCAGAGCCGTGACCGCTCGCAACCCCGAAATCCGTCCTGGCATGCTCGCCCCTATATGTTTGACTGGAGTTTTCTGGGCTCTCCGGCTTCTCTTCCTCCTTCGTCGCCTGCGCCCTGGTTCCGCACGGTTGGCATTGATTCGTTTGAGAAAAACATGCTTGTTCCAAAGGGAGGTCTCCCGGCCTCTCCACGTCCATCTCCGGAATGATCGCCTGGCGGCTTCTGGTGGGTTGTGCGGCAGATATTGCAGGAGCAATAAGTGCAAAGCCAGGCGGATCTTTCCTGAGAGCCACGCAGCACAGCCTGTCGGGCGTTTTTGGCAGAGGAGAAGAGCACAGTACCTTCCTTTGAAGGCGTTTTGGTCGCGAGAGGAACGGCTCAGCGCGCCGGCACTAGGCCGGCAGCTGCTAGGGTAGGGGGACCATCCTGAGGCTGTCCGGGCAAAGGCTTCTACTTCCTGCCCCTCTGCCCTAAGGCCATAGGGCTCAAAGGTCGATCACTGCTCGCCAGGCTCCAAATCTGAGTCGGATGCCGGCACCAAAAGGTCATTGCCTGCCCGTCAGGGAGGACGCTTCCACTGAATGGAAGACACCCCCAAACTAGAGCCTTCCAGATCCACCTGAGGCCTGAGAACTCCGAAGCTTTTTCTGATCTCCTCACAGCTTGAAGTGGCAGCCCTCGCCTTCGGCACCGTGCCGGGATCGGCAGCGCAGGGCGACGAGAGCGAACGCCGATGCCAGGGCGCCCTGTGTTGGCCGAGGCTTATAGAAGATGAAGGGAGTTGGAGCTTGGAGTGTTGGCAGGATCAAGATAAACGAGCTTCTCCCAAGCCCAAAACCTAACCCTTTCGTCCTTAACCCTAAAGCCACTAAAGCTTACAACTGTTCAAGTTGACTGCTTGCAAACCTCCAATGCACAGGGCCCTCAAAGTGTCCCGCAACATCCCGGCGCACCAGCGCAGCCAGGGGAAGCCACGCTCTTCGACGAGAAAGCTCTGGCCTAGAACGGGTGCATAAGGAGAAAAGCCGAATCAACCAACGCGTTGGTCTTTTGCCACTGCATCGGGTGCTAGACTCCTAGACATTTGCTAGTGTAGGAAAAGCTGCAACAGGTTCCGAGTGATTCAGATCGGGGGATGCGAGAGGGCAACTGCGGCAGCTACTTGATGACGATAATGATGGCGGTGGTGATGCCGATGATGATGCCGACAACGATAATGATGATGATGGTGATGATGATGATGATGATGATGATGGTTATGATTATGGTGATGATGATGATGATGATGATGATGGCGCTGGAAATGAACATGACGACGATGACGAAGATGAAGAGACCATCATCATCATCATCATCATCATCGCCGTCGTCCTCCTCGTCCTCCTCCTCTGCTCCATGTCCCTCCACCCATCCTCGCATTCAGCCATCGTAATCGTGGTGATCGGCATCATCACGTCCTAGTTTTGACGACGTGGTGCCACTGCCAAGGGCAATGAGCACACATCAGCCGGCTCTTAGACTTGCTAACGTCAGCCCAAGCAATCATTTTGCAGGTCTTGCGTGCAGGTCCCGCTCAGGTCTCAGGTTCTTGCATGTTGGGGAGGCTGTACAGCCGAGGCGTCGCTGCGGAGACACTGAAAATCACCTCGCTGCGTTTACTGGGCAGTCGATGCGGGTCTGCCGTTTGGGGTGTCGATAAGTTTCTTGCTTGCCCAGCGTTCAAGAATCGATTCTCCTGATTAGTCATTCTGCTGTTGGAGGGGCTGTCGACTTGTAAGGCCATGAGCTTTGCAGGCTGAGTGATGTTATATACGTAAGCTAGAGATGCAGAAATTGCTTTGAGAAAGGGCACAGCGACGGGCTGGAACTGGAAACCAGGAGTATCTCGAAACGGGGGCTGGGCTTTGCAGATGAGAACAAGTCGGAAGACAGGGTCACGGAGTATATTCTACCAGGACTATAATTTGGAGCCCAAGGACTATAAGGAACTCCTAAAGGATTCCAGAAGCTTGTTGGTTCGACATTGGCGCACTGCAGGCAAACCGAAAGCTCAGACAGAACCAGAGAGCAATTGAGAGCAAGAGCTTCTTGCCTCTTTGAGATCGGAGTGCTCGATTTTCGATGTTTGGATCGAGTCCTGCAGAGAGGTCATTCTTGGGAATTCCGACAAATCATTGGGAATCTTTCGAGACTTCTGATGGACAGTCCCTGACTTATAGCGTTAACTTCGCATCCCCCGCAGATCCTTCGACCCTTTCAACAACTGTGGCATCATGGGCAGCAATTCAACAAGAGCGCCGCATGAGAACCTCATCTACGATGAAGCCACCCTTGGTGATCTCTTCGACTATCGCCTTCCTCAGCGATGGTGAGCGATCAAACTGCTCTCTCTTCTCTGCAAAGCCCCAGTTCGTCACTGCAGTATGCAATGTGGGATTTACTCAATCCAAACTCGAAAGATGCTGTGTCAGATGTGCTGCTCGCTCGTTGGGACTATCGATGCTTGCCGAACAGCATACACTGAAACTTCTGGACCCCGACAGCTTTGCAGCCCAGAGTCAAGCTTATGGCGCCCCCGGCGAGCCTTGGCGCCCAACAGATCACGGGGGATGTGGTGAGAAGAGTTGGAATAAGCTCGGTAGCACCAGCAAGCGACGAGCTGTACGGATGACTTCTCGGACGCAGACGAGGACCAAACTCCGCCCATGGAGCCTACAGTAGAGACCCAACTATCAAGCTCAGGCCGTTTAAGTTTAAGGCTTTGGCTACACTATTGACCTCACAACATCTCATAAGCCCTAAAATAAAACTCTAAAGCCACAAACCCAAAAATGCGAAACACTAGACACCGAGCCGCGAGTAGAAGCTTTCGAGCTCCGCCACAACGTTGGAGTCCAGGCCTGCGCAGAGAAGAGCACTAAAGAGCAGAATGATCCCATGCTTCCTCGCATCAGTACGCTCGTCCGTTCGGGCCTGTGACGATCACTCGGCCGACGCCTGTCCCCGGTGATGCATGCACCTGGTGCCATGGATCTGTGCCGCACTGCTTTCTTATTTGTGCTATGTGAGTGTTCGCCTCCTTTGCAAAAGTGCTTCGGGTGCTTCATATTCACCCCCGGTTGTCTCTCTCTCTCTCTCTCTCTCTCTCTCGCCGTCTTTCTGTATCTCTGTCTCTCCGTCTGCTTGGCCGGCATATCTGAATAACTAGCTATGCATCGGTCCAACGACCTATCCATTTATCAATCTATAGTCCAGCTATCCATCCGTCTATCTGTCTGTGAGTTCCCAACTCCTGAAACCCAATCCGCCGAGTGAGGTATGCACGATGCTTCCCACGGACGAGGTCGCAACCTGGCACTTGGCCGTTAGAACACGCTGACGCTTGGCAGCTTAGGGCTCAGGGTTGAGAAGATCTGGGAAATGACTCTTTCTTCGGAGCATGCCAACATGGAAATCGCGGATGGAAGTACAACAAGAATGCTGGACCCAGCAAGGACTAGAGCAGGCACCCAGTCAACCAGGCTGGCTTGCCATGTTCACCGAGCCCTGCACACAGAGATCTCCACCCTGTCAGGATGTTCAGGGTCAGCTGGGATTCTCCAAACATGCATGTTACTGCTCTCCCCGAAAACTTGGGGTGCACCAAGGTGCACCAGGGCTGAGAACCTGTGGAGGGGCACGCAGGACTGCGGCCGGACGTGGCCTGCTTCACGGAGCTCCACATCACAGGCCCTCCGAAGCGTGTGCCTGAGGGCTCGCTGCTCTGCAGTGCGCTTGGCGGAGCGAGAATCGTCACTGTCTCGCTGGACTATCCAGCCACGCGGCTGAGACACCCTGGAAAGTGAATCAAAACTACATAGCCACTTGCACACTCGCAGAAATAAAAGCAAATGCAAAACAAGAGTGCAACGGCAACGCCGGCTGCTTTTGGCAAGTCGCAAGCATTGGCCAGTGGATTGCCTGCGCCAACCTCGGTCGGCTCAGGGGCTCACCGCAGGGCAAAGATTGCGAGGAGGAGCTTCGGGAGCGAGTGTCGGGTCCATTATCAAGCTCGAGGCACCGACAGAGCAGAGAAGTTTTTGGTAAGGTCTTCTGAGCGTCCTGTATCTCAACACACCCCGGACCGGCGAAATCCGTCCAAACCTCTGGGCCGCCCCAGCGAGGCTTTCCAGCTGCTCGGCGCCGCTGCCCGTCACGGAGACCGGCAGCCTGGGTTCCCAGGGATCACTGGTCGTCTTGAATTTCACGGCTTTGCCTTTTCGCGGAGACTTCGTCAAATTTGGGGATGCCTCCGAAAGCTTATGTTTGGCCTGCGTGCTTGAAGGCTGTTCCATCAATGCGCGACAACACAAAGAGCTTGCTGAAGTCAACTGAAGCTGCAGGATGAAGAGAAGTCGCAGCAGGCGCATGGCGTGGCAGGTGGCTGTGTATTTAGACT